CCCCCCCCCCCCCCCCCCCCCCCCCCCCCCCCCCCCCCCCCCCCCCCCCCCCCCCCCCCCCCACTCGGAGCTTCTCCAAGCGAAGAGCTCTTACTTCTTCCGGGCGGCCGCTACTCGCCGGCTCCGCCTTTTGGCCACGACCTCCGGGTCCCACGTCCCGGAAAACATGTCTTCAAGATCGTCTTCGTCCTCCGAGTCGAAGACGATCACGACCTCCTCCGCCTCGGAGTCGTCCTCGTCCACGTCGTCCGCGCCATCGTCGCCATCGCGCTTCACATCCTTGTCCGCCTTCTTATCCTCCACATCTCTCATCTCGACGTCGTCCTCGTCCCCCGATTCCTCTTCCTCGTCAGAGACACCATGATCGTCGTCGGAGCGCCCCTCCTCGACATCCTCCCAGCTGCGGAAGGGCACGACCCTCTCGACCTCGAGGATGAACTTGCCGACCTTGTACTTCTGGCTCAGCTCCTTGGCGTCGACGTACTTCCACCCGAGCTTCGCGCTGCACAGCACGCACGTGATGTCCGCAACCACGTGCCACCCCGTCACGAGCTGCCTGTTCTCGCACTTGCCGATGCGCACGTTGGCGAGCGTCCCCGGGCCCGCGGCGCTGTTGGGCGGCGGCTGCCCCGGGGACCCGGGCGGCGGGAGGTGGGGAGACGCCGTGGCTGCGACCAGGTACGCGCGGCCGTAGCGGCCCGTGAAGCCCTTGCTCACGATCTGCGAGGAGAAGGCGATGTCGGCGGAGCAGGTCGAGCAGCGGAGGGTGTCGGACTGGGTGCGGGCGAGGGAGAGTCGTGAGGGACGCTGGTGAGGGCGGGAGCGGCGGCGCCGGTGTTGGGACTGGTTGTGTTGTTTCTGTTTTGTGTCCGCGGCGGGGGATGTGAGGGCGTCTTGGTAGGAGGGCGGGGGAGGGGGGCTGTTTGGGGGTGTTATCGTCTCGTCTGTCGTTGACGAGGTCGGCGAGGAGGAGAGGGAGGGGACTTGGCTTGCGTCGGGGGTCGTGGTCGTAGTTGTCGTCGTTGTTGGAGGCGAGGACGTCCGACGACGAAACGGTAGGTTTATGGACGGGAGGAGGTACGTTGGGAAGGTCGGACGGGAGACGATGATATTTGGCGCCATTTTTATTTTGTGTATTATTGAGATAGCCTGTGGGTTTTTTTTTCGTTTGCGCCGGGCGTTCTCTTCTCTTGCGCCGTCCCGGATCTGGTTCCGGGCGGTTCACGATATGCGAGCTCGGGATGGGTTTTCGCAGCGGAGGAGGATCGACTATGAACGTTGGAGAAGACGGCGGCGCGGGATGAAAGTCGTCGAGGGTCCAACCATGACCTCCACCTTCTTGCTTTCTGCTTCTCTTTCCCTAGTGTTGAGGATAGACGTTCTAGTCTCCCGGAACCCAAAAAATAATCAAATCTTGGGACGGCGGACCGGCCTGGTTTTGTTCTCTCTCTTTGCGCGACCGGAGAGATCGGAGGACTGGGGTTGGAGCACGTTTTGGAGAAGGACGAAGGTAAGGCAAGGCAAGGTCAGGTCATGTATAAGACGGGCGCAAAGACGGTTTGGCACGAGACGGAGGGGATAGGTCAGGCTGACCAAGGTACGGTCGATAGACGGAGGGGTCTCATTTAGGGTCGCGCGCTCAAGGCGAAATAAATTCGTCACGGTTCTCGCGGCTTGATATGGGCCATACACACAACAGAACACAAAGGGCGTATGTCCGTTCCCCTGTGGCTTTATTGCAGCGCCGTTGCGACGACACCCCGCCCTTTGTTTTGCGGTGAGGGACGGTGTGTGAGAGATTGTGGTTAACAAAGGTCTGGGCGGCGGTACCTAGCCTCGAGCTTGGTTGGATATTTCGGATTCGGCTTGGGGAGTTTCTTTTTACGACATGCTAGTTTTGGGGGGCGGTTGAGATGACAAGAGTCAAGACTGCCAGATCCTGCGGGAGCTGTGTTACCAGCTGAGTCGTTCGTGAGGAGCTGCTAGCAATGGATTCCGGGCTGAGAGAACTTGTGACCTCTCTTCAACCCCCTCAAGGTCCGGACGGAGCCGTTGTAATGGATGGGCACCTGCCACCCACCGACCCCTCCTTTCGACCAACGTCTCAGACGACTAGGTAATAATGAAGTGCTCAGAGGTGCGGGTGGCAGCAAAAGTATTGGCACCGCATGAGCGATCAGCAATAATTAGCTTGGGTAAGGTCAGGCCCGGCCTGCAATAGCTTCCCAACCCCCACCCACCATCAGGCGTTATCGATAACTGCGAAAGAGCCGATAAGGGGCGGTTTGAGGTCGAAATGGGGGCAAGCTGTGCTTTCTCTCTGGGGATTGGCGTCGGCACTGGACAAAGATGGCCTCATCACCTTCCCGCCATTCATACGGCGTCTGAGGAGTCGATCTGTATTGCTGTAGGTGTGGTGATGGTTGTGTGGACTGTGGGTATGATCACCTCATTCGACCATCGCCCGTTAGATGTGACTCCAACAAACGGGTGTGCGGCAAGGTTTGAGGGTCCCCCTCATTTGGAGACGATTTGGAGAGGGGAAACGCGAAAGTTCAAATGCCTTCTAGAAAGAGCGAACTCTTGTTTCGTCGTGGGCCTGCGTCTTTAATCGTGTCTGGAGTGTCGAATTTTGCAGCTTTCCGTCATTGGACCTGCCGGGATCGAGGATGAATTGTCGACGAAGCTAAAGTGGCTTGCTTTGATGCAGTTTGTGCCCAGTGTGCCAGGCGAGGCTCTGAGAAGATGGTCATCTGGTCCGTCTGCTTGCTGTCAGCGGCTGACCAGACAGAGTACCAATCCGCGGATGGTCTCCGGACGGCGATTGCAAGTAACGGACGGCTGTAGTCTATTCCCCACACGCCAGTGAAATGTCCCCGTCATGGTCTATCTCAGGCTCCTGAAACCTCTTGACAGGCCGGTTATTCTTGGAGAATATGATGGCATCCAAGATCTTACCACGGCCTCAACCATGGCCACGCAGAGGAGGCCAAGGGTAACCGGAGGTGATGAGAACCCCGGAGGCGATGACTCGCAATCACGCAAGTGGGGGAGCGGAACGGCTGGGCGGTCAAGTGACCCCGAAACAGAAACACGAACCCCGGGAAACACAGCAACGGCTCCCCGCACTCGTCGCCTTCTGGCATTGGCCATGTTCATGGGCATGGCATGGCAATCCTTCAATCACGACTATCCGGTCAGCCAGTCCAGTGAAGTCGTAGCCGCAGTCGCGAGCTTCCTCCATACCAGGCTGCGGACAACGATCGTTGCATTGACGGCAGTATCGACGGACAATAGAGGAGCCACGTTGTATGTCGTTGGGCGTTCGGGTTGTTTTGGCTAAAGCTGTGCGCTGCGCAATTGGCGTACGTCTGCGGTCTGTGGTACTATCGCACAGGAAACGTGCTGTGTAAAGATCACGCAAGCCAAGCGACAAGACCCTGAACTTCAGAAGGTTCGAGAGGTGGAGATGGAATCGTTGACATAAGACAAACCTAACCATAATGGCTCCACGGTTATCTGTCATTAATGCGACGATCTGCTTCATCATAAGCGTACGTGTATTTCCACAAACTTGGAAGATCCTGAAAAGAACCTGGAGATCGGGGCGAGGTTACTCATCCAAGTGGAATCCATCACAAAACACTGTGATGCCGCGGATGGGTTGGGAATACTGAGGTACAGTGCTCTGTCCTGGAGCACTGGGCTGACTGCATGTTGGGCTCGGCTCAGCGTAGTCCACGTGCATGTGAACTGCAGCTTCACGGCTCTGGGCATTGGCGTTTTTTTTCATTCTGCCAAGCGCCGCGCCGCGCCGGATCCGGATGGGGAGCGTCCAGCCGAATCGTGAGTGTTGGCGAAGATTGATTCGGCAATGCTGTGAAATGGTGGTCTTTGCTGTCAATTGGGTAAAAGCCAAGATGAATCTAATAGGTAACTTAGCAAGAAAGACAATTGGACCAGTTCGTGGTTCGTAAGAGCATCCGCGACATTACTCAACGATCGGCGAAGCAAAACGCAGGAGCAGCCAATGCAAAGCAGCCCAGCAGAAAACGTGCCCGACAGTGCATCGTGGACGGCGCCGCAGTGGACTCTTCGGCCGGTTTCGTACTCGAGCCTGGGCCGGGCCCTCCGCTGGCATCTCCTCCGTACTTTGAAGCGTCGATGTTGTCGTGAAAAATGTGATTCCGGAATTCGATGTCTTGGTAGCACAGTGAATCGTGGGGATCTGGGACTGGGCAAGACGGTAGACTCAGACTCCAGAGGATGGCAAACATGTTACGCATCGAAATGCCATGCCGTGGAGGTGCATTGCGTTGGACGGAGAGGTGTGAGGAGGACAGCATGGATCCAAATGAAAGGAACACTGTAAAGAGGGAGGTGGAGATGCCATGGCTGATTCTGACTGTTCTGTGTGGTTCCACTGGCTGTGGTTGCCCCCTTGGAGTGCTGCAGGGTGGTGGTGGTGTCCCAGGCTCCGTGGCACCGTGGCTCCCAGCCGGTCCGCCACGCTAGACGTTTCCACCCTCTTGGACTCCGCTGTGGTTTTAAAGGTTCACAGCAGCCATTTCCACCCACTGACCTCCTGCCCTTTCCTCCCACACCGTTCTTCACCGCTGCACAGAAGTATCTCTTCGCTCTCGCAACCATCGGGAAAAAAAGGTCATCGACGATACTCCGTCTCGACAATTCAAGCAACCCGCTATCTACAGCTTCACAGCTTCACCGCCACACAAACCAATTCTCAATCTCAAGTCACCACGACTTCAAATCAATCTCGCATCACCTCCGATCAACGATCAATCATCCCATCTGACGACCGGTTCCGAATTTCCGAGAACCGCACCTACCACCAAAACCACCAAACCACCGAGTCAAGACATCAACCCCGAGAAATCAATCGCAATGGCGCCCATGAGACAGCAGAGTAATTACAGTAGTAGTAATTGTGGTGGCGAGGCCGTCGTCCGTCAGGCCAATGTCCTCGCCAGCTGCTACATCGTCGACTCTGCCGCGACTCTTCGCGGTCTCCACTACTGCACTACCGGGGCTGCAGGTATGTAACATCCCCTTCCCATCCATTCCCATCGACCCCTTCTTCAGCCTCATCTTCACACGCGCCGATCATCGCTGTCCATCTTGTCTCTCCTTCCCGAGACCCCCGCCCCCACACATTCACACATTGGCATGCATGAACCACCAGCGCTAACATCGTTATCAACAGGGGCCGAGTGGTATTCCTGAGGTCCCCTCCTCAGGACTACCATCACCTCCGTCAAGTCCCCCCCTCGCGGCCATCACCGCATCCAACGAGCTGGCTCTGCTTCCCAAGGCCAATAAGCAGCGCCAGCGCGACAATGTCCCCGGCAAACGGATCAGCCGACGAGGGGGGGCAGCACTTCAGATCAGGGAAGAATGTGTGAGATTCTTTTGCGAGTCCATGAGGGCTGTGTTCCGCGGTGAGAGGGACACTGGTTCGAGTGGCTCCGGCCTGACGGGTGTTTATTCTATGCAGACTCCGCCGTCTGACGAGGACCTAGCTGTCCAGCCGCACTTTGGCGGTAGGGAGGAAGCCTACGCGACCGCCCCTGCCCCTGCCACCGCGTGGTTGGAGATCTGGGACTTCGTTGGTGGCGCGAGTTTCCGGGCCTTTGTGGCGGACGACGGGACTGAAAAGTCCCTGTTCGCCTTGTTTGACAGGAACGTCATCGGATGTGACCTGAAGCCTGTGTACGTTCTCACCACCCCCTGACACGCAAACAGCATGACTAACGCGAAGCAGGCTCATGGCGCTGATGGAGTTGGTTGACGGTCCGCTCGACTGCCAGCATCTCGTCATCTGCATTGACCGTGGCATCGAAGAGGAAGACGCAAAATCATTGATGAAGAGCCTGCAGTGGGTGGGCTTCGAGCTGACGACATTGGACCGCTGGGCACATGACGTGGACGTGACGAGCGACAGGTGGCTGTTCATGGGCATGGAAATCTAGCACATGATCAGCCGCCTCGAGTTTTTCTATTTTACTTGTCTATGAAGCTAGGGCAGTTGGGAGTTCTCGGCTTTTGATTTCCTTCTTTGAGTTTCAACGCCTCTCTTCGCAATTTTCAGGAACAGCATCAGCACAGCATTACCAGCAGTAATCGGAAGCAGAAAAGGGAACGCCATCAAAAGCGACGGTTTACGACAACGGATTACAGTCTCGTGTGTTTAGGCAGGACTTTTCTGTATCTGGCAAAAAGTTGGAGGCAGGCTGTTTCATTCATCTTTCTTCCGGGTTTGGGTTATCGCTTTCCGCAGGGGCATGCTCCGTTCTGCTTGATTTCCTGGGTAGGGACAGCACGCTTGAAAACAACTGGCATGATATCATGACACGAAGTTGTGTTTGGTTGTACTTCATGCTCGGCGCTCGCCAGATTGTTCAAAACTCCAGGCCTTTTCTTTCCGTAACGTAGCGTTCAACAACCACAATATTGAACAAATTCTTTCCAAAACAATGCTCCTTCTAAATGCTTTTTATATTCGTCTCATGAGATCGTCAACCCGTCTTTTGATATATAACTACCGCCGTCCACGGTCCTCTCGGTCATACGCTCTCCTCAAACTGCCTCACCTTGAGCCCCTTCGCGGCGAGGAAATCCTTGACCTGCTTCACCGTGTACTCCCCGCGGTGGAACATGCCCGCACCCAGCGCGGCGTCCGTCGTCGTCTTCTCGAACACCTCCTCGAAGTGCATGGGGTGTCCCGCGCCGCTCGACGCGATGACGGGGATCTTGACGGCGCCCTTGACCTGGGCGATGAGCTCGAGGTCGAAGCCGCTGTTGGTGCCGTCCTTGTCGATGCAGTTGAGCAGGATCTCGCCCGTGCCCATGGCCTCGACGGCCTGCGCGAGCTCCACGACGTCCATGTCGCGCGTCTCGCGGCCGCCCTTGATCGTGCAGGCGTACCAGCAGTACTCCTCGCCCTTGGGGCCCGGCGTGGACGTCTTGATGATGTTGTGGCGCGTCGCGTCCGTGTTGGGCACGTACACCCGCTTGGGGTCGACCGAGACGACGACGGCCTGGTTGCCGTAGGCCTTTGAGATCTGCTCGATGGCCGTGTTGCCGAACAGCTTGCGGCCCGCGCCGTAGTACTCCTCGGCCGCCAGCACGGCGTCGGAGCCGATGGAGACCTTGTCGGCGCCGGACTTGAAGTACATAGTCGCGATCTCGAGCGCCGAGACCTTGGTGCCGTCCGTGTCGACCGTGTCGCGGATGCCGCCGCCGACGGTCAGGGGCACGAAGACAGTCTCGGAGGTGCGGCGGAGGATCTCGAGCATGGGCACGTCGGCGAGCGGGCAGTCGCGGAAGGAGGTGATGTTGAGGAACGTCACCTCGTCGGCGCCCTGCTCGTAGTACTTCTTGGCCATCTCGACGGGCTTGCCGAGATTGCGCACGTCGCCGCCCTCCTCCGTCTTCTCGCGCACGTCGTACTGGTCGCCCTTGGTCACCACCAGGTCGCCCTGGTCGTTGGCGCGGACATCGAGGCAGGCGATGACACGGCGCGTGAGGCCGTCCTGGAAGGGTACGGCCTCGGCGCTAGGGGTGATGATGGCGTTGCCGCCCGCGAGGGCCGCGGCGCCGGAGCCGTCGAGGAAGGCGCGGAGGCAGCGCAGGCCGGCGGCGCCCGACTTCTCGGGGTGGAACTGCGTGGCGAAGATGTTGCCGCGCGCCAGGGCGCCGACGAAGGTCTCGGAGCCGTAGGTGCCCGTCGCGACGGTCCAGCCCTGGGCCTCGAGCTCGCCGCGGACGTAGGGGAACTTGTAGGTGTGGACGTAGTAGTACTTTGAGTCCGGGCGGAGGTCGTAGAGGGAGGCGCCGCCGGTGTTGGCGCTGTTCCAGCCGATGTGGGGGACGGATTTCGTGGAGGGGTCGAAGGAGTCGAGGCGGCCTTTCGCGGTGCCCAGGCCGGGGACGGAGGGGTCCTCGAGGGAGCCTTCGAAGAGGGCCTGCATACCGACACAGATGCCCATGAAGGGCTTGCCGGCGGCGATGTGGGCGGAGATAGAGGGGAGAAAGCCAGCTTGGGAGAGTTGGGAGAGGCAGTGGCCGAAGTGGCCGACGCCGGGGAGGATCAGTTTCTGTGAGGGAGGTATTCAGCATGCGAATTGAGGATATATGAAAGTGATAGGAGAGGAATTGGGACGTACGTCGGCATTGGGAACATCTTCAGGTTTCCTAATCCATTCGACTTCGTAGCCGACCTTCTCAATGGCGTTCACCAAGCTGCGAACGTTGCCGGCGACGTAGTCCAGCAGGTGGACCTTGTTCGACATTGCGGGCGAGTTGTTTTCTGCTGGGTCGGGTTGATGGACTGAAAGGATACTATAATTTCTGTGAAGAACGAGTGATATGCGCCGTCAAAACGTCGTCGCCTATTAAGTAATTGCAGTTGTGAGTCAATGGTGGGATGGTAGTCATCGCCGTTCGCCTGGAGGGCGTCCAGGGAAATTTACCTGCGATAGCGGGGCAGAGGGGTTATCGAGTGCAGTCGGCGGCTGCCCCGCATGAGGGACAGACCCCTGCTGAGCTGCCGGCAGACTGAGGTAATCTGGGTGGTACCTTTGCAGCTGGCTGTAAAGGGAAATCTGCTTCTCGGTCTGAACTTGGAGCTTTCCAATTTTTTTTTTCAACGCTGCAACACTATCTCGCACCTCAGTATAACCTCACTCAATGCTTTGAACCTCCATTGCGGACTTCGCGGATCCGCCTTTTCTATCCAAGGTCGAGTTAGCAACACAAATGCACCAACTTCGTCGGCCGGCCGGAGTTCTCTTCCACAGACCGCGGTCATGATGGCGACCAACGACGCGCCGACATCCTCTGTCGCGCCAGTAGTCGCGGCAACCGCGCCTGCGGACCAGTCTTCCAAAGCGCCTGGCAAAGTCGATGAGGGCGATGACTCGGAGTGGGAATACGAGTATTCAACCACCGACACCGAGGTGAGTAGACGCGCTGTCGCAACCAACAACGAGTCGAGGCGGCAGACTACTCACGCGCCAGACTGCAGACATACTACCTGACCGTCGACCTCTCTATTCCTCAGCTGCTTCATCGAAGACGTAACGCACCGGTTTCGGGACGTGGCGGGTACCATTATAAGCACTGGGCCGGTCCGCACAAGAAGCCGGACGAGCCAAAACACCACCGCATCTTGTCGGACGACGAGAACGACGAGAACGACGAGAACGATGACGAGCCCATAGTCGAGCCCGAGGATGACGGCGATATTGACCCGAGTCAGATGGATCCCAATGCGGACAAGGCGGATAACCCCGACGACCAGAGCGAGACGGACGCAGCTCCGGATATACAAATCCTAGACTTGCACTCCGACAAACCCATGTTCGCATACAAGGGCAAGGTGTTTGAGGGACAGTGGGCGCGAAATCTGGGCACGGAAGTCATATTCGCCGAACACGACGCGGAGGATCCGCTGCCGGCGCTGCGGCACCTGCCTGGGGGCGTCGACATGCTCGCCGCCAGCTGGTCAAGGATCAACACCACGGAGAAGAGGTTAATCCCGAGGCACGAGGTGTCGGCTAAGGACGACCCGCTGGAGGAGATCAGGAGGCAGCACGGGATTCACATACCGATCACGGCGGACAAGACGGGCGAGCGGAAACGGCAGACGCGGTTCTTGGAGAACCTGATGGCGCTGAAGAAGAAGAGGGGCGAGACGGACGAAGTCACGGTGTACGCACACGCGGCGCCGAAACAAATCAACGACGGGACTTCTGGGCGAAGGAAAAAGCGGAAGCCGTTGCCTGAAGGGCAGCCCCCCAAAAAGCGCCGGGGTCGGGGAGGTGGGGTGCGCGGCGGACGCGGAGGGGCGGCCGCGGCGGCGGACCTTGACGCGTCTACCGCCGGCCAGAGCGATACGATGTCCGGGGCTGGTGCGTCGCAGGAGGGAACGCTGTCGACGCCGACGCCGGCTGCGTGGGCCGACCTGGGAGGCCAGGTCGACGGAGCCGCGGACCAGGATGTGGCTATGAACGACGATGACGATAGCGAGGACGACTCTGAAGACTACGAAGAAGTCGACGAATAGCCAGAAACTTTCGAGATAAGTTTTTGGACCCAGAGTCTTGGCTTTTTTGATCAGATCATGGAGAGTTTGGGTGCGGTTATGCGCCGCGACTTTGATCCCTCGCGATCCCAAATCCAACACCTAACCATTCCTACATTGAATTTAGGAGCAGCAGCGCGGCAGAAGTTTCCGGTCAAAGCGAGCAGAGATTTCATCGGATGGGACGGCGAAACGGTGGTGTGGTGACGAGACGCATTCCTCTGTCGGCGGGCATACCCTGCGTAGCTAAGCACACACATACGAAGTGTTGCGGGAGAGACATGCATGGGTGCATGATATGGTCAGGCTGGAACAAAGTCAAGTCAGGGAAGATGCGACAAGTTCAACTACGCAGTTATCAACCGGCGGGATGGCCACAACATCTGGCAGACTATGAACTATGATCATCCGGACTTCTGCGACATGGGCAGCAATTATTGCATACATGGACTGCGTGTTGTGGGTGAGCGGCTGCGGCTAATCTGTGGAAGCGGTGTCCCCTCCGAAAAAGCATCATTCAAGAGCCTCACCTGCACCGAGGCACAGAGACAGGACTAGCCACCATTTTTACATAAAGAAAAGGGAAATAGTCCGATATACCACCATATTAATGAGTCAATAGACTTATTAGTCCGCTCCATAACCCGCCTAGCAGCCGTCTGCCAGCTCACATGCAGTGTCGTGGGATAATGCTGCTCGCTCGTGATACCATGTTCCACCAGGGAGGGGATCGGATGCCCCTTGCCGCGCGAAGACCACAAACACGCCAACCACACCGCAGTGCCTGACCGACGGACGCTGCAGACACTGAAAAGTCGGTGGATTAAAAAAAGGTCGGCAGGTGGCAGCGTCGCAGTAAGAAAATAAATCCCGCCAAACCCACACCTTCTGGACCATTTGTGAATTCACTCAATCGTTCCCGAATCGCCTCCCCTCGTGGGAAATCTGCAGGGATCTGACTGGCTCCCGCAGATCTGAACCCTTCTTTCCTGCCAGGTTTCTGTGGACTTTTGGAGAGGGGAGGTGGCGGGGAGGTACCTGTACAAACGGCGACTTTTGTGTGCGTGTGTGGTGTTTCAGTGTTCACCGTCTGGGGTGGTCAAGAGACGAACGTTGGAGTCGGAGATTTCGAAAAGCCCTTCTGCCGCTCAGCGCCTTCGTGACGGACGGCACTGACATGGTTAGACTGAAGGATTAGTTGTAGTAATTGTTGGTGGCTGATGGGAGGGTTAGGTGACTTTGTGACGCCCTGTGGCAGCTTTTCTGCCTGACATAGTAACCACGAGGCCGTTTGCTATCCTTTGGACTATCCTCCGGGGAATTCGTCTCTGGCTCCATAGTAACTCTTGATCGCTCATATAGTTCATACCCAGAGACGAGACTATATCCGTACTGGGAATGGAAAGCGCTGAACCGCATTCCGCGGCCGGCGCAGAATACGACAGGCTGCCGTCGGTGGTGATGTTCGGCTCCGACGGGTTCCACCGTGACAACCGGAGCTGCCGGAAATGCCGTAGGAGAGAGGAACGGGTCCGCGGACATGTCTGGTGGATAGAGACGGAGCAGATGAAGAGCATGATCCAAGTGTTTTTCGTATTCATGCCATTCTTCATGTTCAAGACTCGAGACTTAGTAACTGCGGCCGTGGCTAAGTGGACTGGATGTATGACGGCCCCAACCAAGCCGTGACTTTTCTGGTACCTCATACGGTTCTCAAGACCAGTATTCTGGGCAATACTGAGTCCTCCGGATGTGAGCAACATTTGAATGCCAAATGAAAGAGTTAGTAAGTCGACTTGCTGGAATATGAAGATATCTCGCTCGAGGTGAGGCATCAGATCGAGGTACATGTACTTGAGACGCAGCCAGGATGCTGTCCCAAAGACGGCGTCCAGATCCTAAGGCAAGCTGCTTCGGGTTTAGCGTTCAAAGGAAGACCCAGTCGGTGGTGGCGGCTGCAGAGACCGAGCCCCGGCCAAGGGTGTCAGTTGCAGCGTCCCTGGTGCCTGCTGCCGCTGCCGCTGCCGCTCTGCCGTTGTCGCTGTCTGCTGTCTCTGAGGTGGTCGTCGGGTCGTCGCTGTTCGCTGTCTCGCTGTCGCCGTACGAATAGCGTGCCAGTGTCAGCCAGCATTTGCCCGCATGCGCATACATACCGTACATCCATGGACCTGATCCCTTCCCGTCCCATCCCAAACCAACCCGAAGCTTGCTTGCTTGCTGCTTTCCTTCTTCTCACAAACCTAACTTTCCCTTGAACACACACAACCCGACGACACAAAACACCGTCCACGGGGCCTCAGCGTCCACCGGCCATGCGTCCACGTCTCCGCTCGATCCCCTCCACCTCCCCTCCTTCACTTCCTGACAACTTCATTGTTCGACTTGCCAACCCTTCGAATCCTCTCAGGTTGTGATGCTGCGCGAGTCCCCGCTGGCTAGAGCAAGACGTGCCGGCATTCCGAGGCCCCTCCGAACCATCACTCAGCCTCCGTAACCAACTTGTTTAACCAAAAAGATCTACAAACACTACCTACCTAGGTGAACAAAGTCGCCGCAGCCAGTCCGTCCTCGCCATCTGCACTTTTTCTTCTCAACAACCTACCAACCTGCCACCAGGCCTGGAGCCGACTCAACCACTTCCCGATGTATTACATACGGCGCATCACCATCACCCTCTCCGTCCTGCTCTCCATCTCCTTCCTGGCATGGTTCCTGCCCCGCTACCTGAATCCCAACCCTCCCGACCCGGCCAAGCAGCGCGAGGACAAGAGATGGATCAGTAGCAGCCCGTACTGGGTCGACCGCCAGGCCTGCCGCTGGTTGAGTCTTTGCGGTGTTCACCACCTCTCGTGGGATCCTGCCGCTCTTCTCCCCTTCAAGAACGACACCGACGGCGACGAATTGCGTCTTGAGCTGAGATCCCTGTACACCGACGAGGGACGGCACCATGGCTGGGAGTCCGTATCCAGGATGCGCCAGCCCCAGGACAAGTCCGACGCGAAGACGCTGAAGGAGATTCCCGACTACGTCCTCAAGTATGCGCCATTGGTTCACCTGTACTCGGGTGAGAACTTCTGGCCTGCCGACATTGCGGAGCACATCAAGCACATGACGCCCTACCTTGAGAAGCAAGCATTGAACCGTTCGGTTCTGCTTTCGGACTTGCACCAGCTCAATAAGGAGGACGGCATGGTTTACCTCACAAGCGACGAAGACGTCGAGCAGAGACCCGAGTGGTTGCACAGCCACGTCGGTATTCCTGAACCCTGGAACGACGACGACGACAACGAAGGCGGCGGTGAAGAAGACGGCGGCAATGAGGATATTCCGATCGAAGACGATGATCAGGTGCACTCTCCGTTGGAAGACACCACATGGTTCGATGTCTCTCGCGACCACCCAGTCTACCGCATTTCGGACCCTCGCCGGTTTCCACATTTCGTGCCTCACGCCCGCACCGGCGACTTCCATCTCCGCCGACGGGACCAGAAGCCGCTGCCCCCGCCCGACACGCCTACCCACAAGCCCGATCAGGAAGGCTACTCCAAGGCCCCAGCTGTGCTAGTTCTCGTCGACAAGGGTTCCGGCATTGTCGACGCTTTCTGGTTCTTCTTCTACTCGTACAACCTTGGTCAGACCGTCTTGACTATCCGGTTTGGTAATCATGTCGGAGATTGGGAGCACTGCATGATGCGATTCGAGAACGGCGTGCCCCGTGGCATTTTCTTCTCCGAACACGAAGGCGGACAGGCTTACACGTACCACGCCGTCGAGAAGCGAGGTGATCGTCCCGTCATCTACTCCGCCGTTGGATCTCACGCCATGTACGCACAGGCGGGCGAACATCCCTATGTGCTGCCGTTCAAGATGCTCAAGGACGTCACCGACAAAGGCCCCCTCTGGGATCCTGCAAAGAATGCCTACTCTTACTGGTACGACTATGCGCAGGACTTGGACGAGGACCTCGACGATGATCTGGACGACAAGGTAGACGTCGCCAGCGGGCATCGCAAGGAAAACCCCACCAGTCTCGTACCAACAGCTGAGAATCCCGATGCGCCAACCTCTTGGTTCCACTACGCCGGCCCGTGGGGTGACAAGCTCTACAGTCTCGCCGATATTCGCCAATGGCGTCTCTTTGCGCAGTACCACTACGTTTCCGGTCCTCTGGGCCCCAAGTTCAAGCGTCTCGACCGTGAGAAGCTTTGTGTCACGACGAGATGCCGTATTCTCAACAGTCTGAAGCCAGGGCAGACTTGGTACAGCTAGAGCAGCATCATTTTCATCTGTCATTGTACCAAAAGAAATTAATGGTAAGAAGAGGTGGTAGACGATTCCTCGCCGGAACACCAACGCTCGCTATGATCATCAACCTATCTAGAGGTACACGTTCGTTTATGACTTCATGTAGATATATTGCTTGTGACGACGTCACTTGACGCGTCGGGATCAGGAGTTTCGCGGTAACTTGGTGTTCTTCTGGAATCAACTTCTTGGGATTGATACCCCCACAAATACTGAATAGATGATAAGTTAACATACTCTGCGGGCTTGTCCCTCCGAATTTGCCCTGCACTGTTCATGTCGTATTGTTCACCAAGACGTTATGGAACCGGATATGACAGCATGTTCGGCCTGGATGCCAGACTTGGCTTGAGTCAATCCTCGCCAATCTTTACTCCCAGTAAGCTAGACAAGAACTAGAGCCGTCATCTCGTGCGAAACAAGGGAACGCCTTGGCTGCCGTTTTCAACGGCTGGCTTGAATAACCGCCTTGGGCTGACAGTCAAGCTAGCCATTCCGATGAACCATGTGTCAGGTTGACACAAGCGATAAAGACGAGAGTCGACGGCCCGCAACCGCAACCGGAGGTGGACGCCTCAGCGCAGTTCAAATTCCAACACCGGCGCCGAGCTGCGGCTGACCTGCTCTTGGCCTTCAGCTGAAGCGCTGCGAATGCCCCATCTCATCCCTTCAATTGCGCCGATGGAATAGCTTCATGTTGGTTTATAACGTGTGATTTCCCTCTGCTCTGCGGTGTTCGTGCTTCTCAATGATTTCTGGAGGTAGTGAATGCACGCGAAGATGAGTTATCCTTACTACCCGCCGCCCCCGGGCCAGCCCGGCGTGCCCCCGCCCCCGCCCCGGGCCGTCAGTCCGGCGACCCATTATTCGCCGCCGCCGCCGACCACACATGCACCGTACAACCCGGCAGAATACCGGCAGAGTCCGCCAATGGCCGGATACAGCATGCGATCTCCTGGCGCCTATAATTATTCATCGTCCACCTCTCATCCCCCGCCAGCTACTCCCCAAGGACTTCATGCCGGTGACTGGCGGACTCAGTTTTCGCAACTGGCCACGCGGGTAAACCAAAGCTATAACGAGTCTCTCACCAGCATGCAGGCGATTGTGCGAGCGGCTGAGAATCAGAGCTCTCATCACATGAATCGGCTCCAGTCCATCGGATACTCCGGTGCATCACTGGGTACGCAGCAGGCCGCTTCGGCTGCGAACCACCACCATTCTGCCCCGGCCTGTCAAACTCAAGCTGCTTCCTCGGCGGTTCCGAACGCAGCGAGCGCGCAGTCGGGAAAAGATGGGGCTATGCACTATCGGGTTTCCGGCCAGCACCAGGCCGCTGGAGTTTCGTCACCGTCCAACTCTTCTGCATGTCAGAATGGCTCAAGTCCTGCTCCTAGTGCCCCTGAAGTAAAGCAGTCGATCTATGGCACATCGAGCATCTCATCGGCTTCAGAAAGTCAGGGCGATATGAAACTGGCACAATCTTCTCACACTCAACAGGCTTCAGAAAGTCCAGTTCCAAGCAACGCACAGTACATCACCGGCGAGCCCTACCACTATCAGCCTTTCAACACACAACATGATTCACAAACTTCGCCATCGGAGACCTCAACAAACGATAATTTAGCGACACCAAGTACAGTATCAATAGACCACCAACATGTGCATTATCCGCCTCCCCCACCTGTGCCACATCATACACGACCAAACCAAGCCCTTGAGAAGGTTGAAGAAGCGGCGAATCGTACCACGGGCAACGCCGAACCTGAGACTTCTTATCCTTGGATGCAGACGTTATCCTTCAGACCTGCATCTCAAGCTCTGGCTTCAGAAAATATAAACTCAGAGTGCTCTGCCGTTCTCCCAGAGAAAAACACGGCTCCGGCCCCGGCTGTAGATCGTTTGTCCTCTCAGATGGAAAGGACCGGTATCCAGAGCCATGCCTCACCCGAAATCGAGCCACGACAAATCGAAGACGAAGACGAAGACTTTCACGAGCGACCAGTCGGCAAGCCCAGAATGACCATGGACGGAGCGCCTAACGAGGTCTTCTGGATCTGTCCCGCCCCTGCAGTCATCGAATACGAATCCGATTGGTACTGCCTACCCGACCTGCCGGACTTCCTCATCTGCACCAACTGTCAACACAAGTACCTCGCCGAAACAGACCTGTCAAATCTCCTCGAACGCACCCGCAGGCCCACGGGGCGTTGCCGCTTCAACGTGCCACGCCTGACCAGAGCACTCCTCCCGGCGTATCGAAAGACCGGGGACCTGAAGCCGATTCGCGACTTTATGAAGAGGCGCCTCTCCGTCCAAGACTGCCACGGGGAAGCCGGGGTCAAGGGTGAAGCCGGCGTCGTGTGGTACAAGCCCCTCGACGACAGGCTCCTCGGTATGCTTTCTTGCGAGGCGTGCTACGAGGACGTCATCTTGGCCGCGTCCTTCCGTGGGAACTGGGGCCCGTACGATCGAGCACACGCGGCAGGCGAGACCTGGGCCTGCGACGTAGCCCTCCGATTCATCCGCCGCATCTCGGAAAAGTTCCCCGTCCTCCCGGGCCGCACCTGGGAAGACTGGGCCTGCTCCGCGGCAAACCACATGAACCAGCCCACGTGCCAGTGGGGGGACGACAACATGTCGTCTTCTTCGAGGAAGTGGGTACGGCTCCGGGGCGGACGCGTCCCGAGCATCAGGACCTGCGAGAAGTGCTACGAGGAGCAATTCGCCTTCACCGCCCTGAGCCGCGAGTTCGAGTTCATCCCCCCGGAAGACACCGCCATGCACGGCCCGGACCCGTGGTACTGCAGCATGAAGGACCTCCCCGTTCTCCTGGCAGCCGCGATGTCGATACCCCCGGGTGATGTCGACTCGTTTGTGCCATCGGCCGAGCTCATCGCGGCCAACCCCCGTTGCACGCACAACGGCATCCGCCACGGGACTTGGTACACCCTGGCCGGGGGAGACGTCCGCGACGACTTCAGGATCTGCGTGTCGTGCTACACCGCGCTGTTCAAGACGGCCGGGCTCGATCGCTTCTTCGAACAAGTCGCGGACGCGGACGGCTCGTCGCAGGCACTCGTCGCCTGCAGCTTCAACCGCACGGCGCCGAGGTGGCGTCAGCAGTACGCGCAGGTGCAAGAGGCTTTACAGACGGGCGTGTGGCCGCGGTTCTCGGACTGGGTGCGCAAGTACGCCGGCGTGCCGCCGTGCGAGCGGGACGAGGAGGTGGACAACCGCAGGTGGTACGGCTGGGACGAGTGCACGATCTGCCCCGAGTGCTGGCTCAGCTTCTGTGCCGAGTCGTCCTCCAAGCTGGCCGTGGAGCTACATAACCAGCACGTGGTCGGCCGGAGGATGTGCTGCATGTACTCGCCGCTGATGCGGCAGAAGTGGCTCGCGGCGTGCGAGCGGGGCAGCGCTGACGAGCTGGTCGAGTACTCTCGCGGGAGGTACCGGGTGTATGCGCAGGTGACGCCGCAGATCCAGATGCTCAGGAGTCAGCACCAGATGCAGGTGATGCAGAACATCAGCGCCGGGCAGACGAGCGCCATGTACTCGCGGTTGGCCATGCACAGCTCCACGATGCCGAGCGGGATGGGTTACTCTTCCCCGTATTCGTACAACAACACGGACTGGGGGGTCAAGAGTGCTGCTTATTTTAGCCAGATGCAGGCTGGAACCAGTCAGTCCAACACCACTATCTATATGATTGAGGACTTGAGGAACCAATGGAGGGCGGTTGAGTAGAGTGTTTTTGTGCGTTCGGGGGATATGGATGTCCTCGGCTTCGTTAATCCTTTCTATCAATTATGAGAATATTGATAGTTTTTGACCCCATCTGTCTTCTAACGTTTCTGTGACGAAGTGAAACCACTCTCGTCGACACGAGATGAATACTTCAATTGTATCATCACTTCACAATAATGCAAGCGCCCAGATATGAGGTTCAGGTGCAAGAACACGCTGGATGTCATCAAGGCCTTCTAGAAACGAGTAAAGCCCAGATAAAATGTTTCCTCACATCTCGTCATTGTTGTTCACGCTCCATGAGTTTGACAGCTTGCGTACGCGTCATAGGCGACCTGTAGCCTTGTTTGCAGGAAAACTGCGACCACTTTCCAGTATTGAGGGAGACCGAACAGCCGAATCAACGTAATAGCACCTCTGTGGCCTGGAAATAGTATACCTCCATTGCCCTAAAGCAGCGAGATGGGTTTGCAGTTTGTGCCATTGTCTCGGATGACTGCGAGGCTTGGAAGATCCAACATCTTGGCAATGAAATTAGGAGAAGCGTCGTAGCACAGTTCCGAATCCTTTTTCACCGAGATGTTTTGATGATATCATCTGCAGTTGAACGAACCCGTGCTGTTGCTAGCTTCCTTGCGCGCGAGGCAGCCCCGAAGGTCGGGACTGACATCACCCAGCTGTCTTACTGTAGTTTGGATAAAGGCTGACTGGATTCGGTGAACATTAAAGGCCCCGTTGCCTCGAGATCGAAGGTCTGCAGCATCCTCTTTCTCTATCCAGTCTACCACCTCTTTCAGTGAAACCGCTATATCAGTAGTTTGATCTCGGCAACCTGTTCTATTCAAGCAAGAGAGTCTCATCATGGTAAGGCATTTTACTCTGGTCTGTGGTGATCAAGTGATTGACCGTATCCGAACCTAGATTACAAGCACTGTCGCCTCTCTCATCTTTCTCTTCGCAAGTGGCATTCCATTCGTCAGCGGAGCCGTTCAAGTCCAACGTCGTGATCTTGAGACCAATGTCGCTCGTCGCAATCGGGTCCGATCCTCAGAAGGCCTAAATGCCAGACAAGGCCTGCCGCCCTGGAACGAATGGGTCTGCGACGATGCGAGCGGCGGCGGCGGTCACTCTGCTCTTCGGAAGGCGCATGCCAACTTCAACGACAAGTTCGGGGTCTCGAGGCTGGAACTCCAGAACCTCTACTGCTACGTCAGTGCCTGTGACGGGCACTTCTTTGCCATATGCAACGAATGCGGTGTGACGGCAAGTCTCTACTGATGCACGAAATGGATTGTGTGGATTGTAAGGCTAATGTAATTGTTACAATCGTTGCAGAAGATGGAAGTTAGCGGCGCGCGTGACTATGTCGTCGACGCCGATCCCGGCGATGGAGATAGTTGCAGATATCTACGGTTCCGGGAAAACTACATCCGCTACTTTTTCGGAACTGGAGAGGGCGACTTTGACTTACATGGGGATAGCGTTGAGCGGAGGAACTGTTGAAGAGGCACTTTCGTTAGTGGAAACTGCATGGGGACGTCTGGCTAGCAACGCACACGGGGAGAAGAATTGTCAATATGATCAATTAGAATCTAAACTGATGACCGCTGATATTGCGAGGCAAATTAATTCAAAGGCGAGATCACGCCTCATGATGCGTACACAAACTTGTCGTACGAGGAGATACCCGAGGACGAGCCCTGGCGGACGGACAAGCCCCGGTCAGCCGTGGAGTATTTCAAAGGACTGAGAGAGAGTCTGATTTCACGCGAGATGATTCCAATACCCACGCACATGCCCGGAGCGGACTGGAAAATCTGGCGAGTGAAGGACTTTGAAGAGGAGCACCGGCAATGGGTTCATGTGAGCTCTTGTGCTGGCTGGTGGTTGTGGTTGAAGTTTTGCTGATTTGACGAATGTAGGAGGCGCAGGATTTCTATCGAAAATGCCACTGGCCCGATACCGATCGATTTGAGCGTTCAAAGTGTCGGGGTATGCTTATGGAGATGTTGAAGAAACGTTGGAACAAGTTGGGTGAGCGGAGAAATTGATGGGCAAGGACCAACTGCCAACATACTTGGAGGGAAAGTTGTTTTGACACAGAGAATCCCTTTCTGAAGACGATGAGGCTTCTTGTTGGAGATTTACATATGATACCAATGGTTTATCTATGGCCTGTTCTTTTTCCCATTCGCTTTTGTTTCTGTAATTACGGCACTTCACCGTAACAGCGTGAGGTAAAGAGATTAGAGACGCATGTCTTGTGCAAGTACTATTCGCAAGTATCATCATTCGCACATGTCTAGCAAGTATTTACACATTAAATTCTCCATAAAAACTAATGAAAGATTCAGAAGAGAGACATTCCAATTCCTTTTCTGGCAGCCTTCTCTGCCATCTTGCCTAGGACCATGCCCTAAAAGCTGCGTGGTCTCTGGTTAGTGTACTGAACGCTATCAAAATGCAACTGAGATAAGCTGATTGCGCCCCTGCCCTCTTCTAAGTCCATCTCTTCTGGTTCTTTCACTTGAATTCCTAGCATTTCCTCTCTAGGATGAGGTGCTCGCCCTGGACCCCAAGACCGTCTGAGAAACCTTGGAGTTGATGGTGCCTGTGATACACTCGATTCTGCGGAGGCGATCTCTTCTGCTGCCGCTTTCCTACTTGCGAGTTTGCTTTGCTTGCCACCAAAGCCTGAATTGGTTGACCGAAGCAATCGCATCAAGTCTTTGATATGGATGCTTTTCGCAGCGAGTAGCAGCAGCGCAGTGAACACCAACCCTCCGACTGCAGTGGCAATCATATTTCCAAGCGTCTGAACCTCAGGCGCTTCGCTCATGCTGAACACACCAGTCGCGAAGCCCAATGGTAGAAAGAAGGCCGTCACATACGTGAACAGCTTAATGTCCTCGGCGCGTCTCTGGTCCAGGTTGCTGCGTTCCTGATCTTGGTCGCTGCGCATGATTTCGAGGTTGCTACGCACAAGCTCCAGCTCCTTCGTGATTGATTCGATGAGACCCGAAATTTTGGCGTGTTTTCTCCTAAGTTCCTGAATGTTGCGGTCATTTTTGACGAGTAACTTGTGTATGATGACGCGGTATCGACTTTCGTCGTTGAACGTCCATCGTGGCCGCTCCGCTTGGCGATCTTTCTCTCGCTTCAGCCATAACTCTATCTTCGCGTTGTTCTCCGAAAAGTCCCCTTCCACTGCCTGTAATGTGTTTTGGAACTTCTGGAGCTGCCTGCTCGTGACAAGAAAACTCCGGTAATCTATAGATAGATTCGATTGCCCGTCGGCTTCGGTTGGCGTGTTTACTTTGCGTGCTGGATTCGAGTTTTCCTGCGTTTCATTGAGCAATTTCAGCCTCTTCTCTAAGTTATCCCTCTTCCCCTCGAATATTTCCTTGGCCTCGTCTAGGATGCCTTTTGCGCTCTCATTCATTCTTTCCACGACCGCTTCGAACAGTTTGAGCTCCAAGACTCTGCGTTGTTGCCAGGGACCTGTCTTTACTGTTGAAACAAGTCCATACTGAAGATCAACCCACTCTTCTTTACCAGCCTGACCAAGCATAGATCTCATCCTCCCAACTGTTTCCTCCTTCGAAGACTTGGACTTCTCTGGATCAGCTTCCAAGAAGCGACAAGTCCAATATCGATCGAAAAAGTCGCCTTCAAATCGGAAACCCATGGCAATCTTCTGCGTTGGAAAAGGAATATCACGCGATTCTCCCATATCCCCAGTCCGTTGACTACGCTCTTTCTTGACCTGAACGAGCGAGTAAAATGACAGGTGAAATTCCGTCGTCCAAGTATTCAATATCGCAGCTGTTACTTCCGTAAAGAAGTTATCGTAAGTCTCGTGTCTAGAGACGAAAGTTTCTATCTCCTTCGCCTCCTTTTCTTCTCCCGAGGGGACTGTTTCAATGCAAGCCTGGTTGGAAGATGGGCTTGCAGAGACAAATGCCCAGAACCTTTTCTTAGATTTCTTTTTGTCCCTCCTCACATTTCGCGTGAGGTCCAAGACACCCTGATCAGTTGTGATGGTAATAATTGAAGTTCCTTCCTCCTCAGACCTCTTCTTCTTGAGTGGTTTTCGTTTGGGCACATCGATCATGAGCCCAACAAATTGGTTGCTAGTTCTCATGGGAACAACAGTTGAGTGGGTGTTTCTTAGTCTGAAATTTTCGATGCTTGCTCGATGGTCATTGCTTGCTTCGCCAGAAACATTCGGTTCCGCTTGGATGACCGGGGCCGGGGAGAAGAACGCAGGTTCATTGTAGAGCCACTCATCTTGTAGCTCTATAATGTTTTCTTCGTCCACCATGTTATTGAAGGGCAAGTTGTGTTTCATCCAATAACCATGGCGACGTTTGTGTCCCTTCGATCCCGTCTGCCCTTCCGCTAAATCGCCCAAAAGTGTGCAAATCTGGGTCATGGTGTGTGACATGGATTCGAGGCGGTCATGAACCGTTTTGGCCTCAACAGCCTGGCGTTCGTCTTCTGGCCTTGCACAATAGTATTTCCATAGAATGTAAGGGACCTCGAATGTTGTCCCCCAGTGGTTGTCTCGCAGCCTCTCGCTTTCGTAAATGGCCGGTTCATGCTTAGCAAGCTTTCCAGAGAAACTTCCGTTGGCGGAGGAGCTCCTGAGCAGCACAGAAATGGCGTGTTCAAGCATCTCTGCTCTTGGTCGGAGGTTCATGGGCTTTTTGTACTGAGCCATGATGATAGCCAATGCAAACCTTCGCGGGTCGTCCCAGTCAGCGTCGTCGTTTTCTTCATGATGTTGCTGACAGTTGATGGTGTTATTCCATACATCGATACTGCTTTGCAAATCGCCCTTCTCAACACTTGCTCCAGGGGCCTTGAAAAGTCCCAATTCCATAGCGCGAAACAGAGCAGCGTCTTTTGCGCGGAAAAGAAATCGCGTTTGAGCCGGGCTTCGCTTCGCCGCTATCATTCTCTGTTTGGACATTGGATTCTCGGTCGTGAATCTCTTGAGAATGTTTTGTTGCAGTTTGTGCGACGAATAAGATTTGTCTTTTTGAGACTTGATTTTGGAAGCGAGGCGAATGTTTTCCGCGGACTTCAAAGCTTGCCAGATCAATGCGTGATCCGTGAGATAAAAGGTCTGCGTCGGTTCCCTATCCGTGTCCTCTTCGTAACATGGGAACGCGTAGAGTCCCAGCTTGTTGATACTGTCAAGATCGTCTACCCAGGCTTTGAGAGCCAACCTCATAGCCTGGGCTTCGACGTTCGGCATCTTCTCTCCAATGAGCTCATAGAAGTCGCCGGCCTTAATGAATTGGAAAGGGGCATCGACAAGTGACTTTTGTGGAAGATACTCGTTCTGTTGCCACCCGGTGATTTCCTCGCCGTTGATCCAATAATTGGGACAAAATAGCTTGCCAGATGGATTGACCTCCTGAAACAGCCACTTGATATGGCCTTTGCATACACGCTCGATGCGCCTCTTCATAACGCAGATGTAAGGACCTCCAACGGTGGTTGAAGGCGTCTTCCCGCAACTGCACGGCAATGATTCATGCTGAAACCTGAAGTGACGCAACGCAAGAAGAAGAAACTGGAAGGCGTAGCTGAGTATCTCTAGTTAATACGTGAAACTAATACATGGCTTCGTGGACACTGGAACTTACAAGCTTGCTGCCGAGGCAACGCGGTGCCCGTCGACATCACCGCAAGTGAGGGCGATCGCAGGAATCTCATCACCTTTGGTCTCGGTCACCGGAATGCTGCAGACCGATAGGATGTGCTCTAGGTTTCTTCTCATGAAGAAGTCAAGAGATGGATCGTCTACCAAGGGGTGGGTCTCGAAGGTCTCAAAGAGATTCTTGGCTTCAGAGTAACTACTCCATGAGGGTGGAGGGAGCCGGCCAGATTCGTCGTCCGACACAGCCTCAAGCGTGTAAGCTAGGACTATCTTCAGAACTTTTCCCTTTGAACCGTTTTCCAACGCACTTTCTTCCGTTGCTGAACTCCAATGAATGCTGTATGTAGGACCTTGGTGGGTGGATTTGACAGACTGGGCCGATTCGTCGGACGCGGATGACTCTGCGTAGGCAGCGGGCTCAGTGGACTCAACAAAACCGGTGGGCTCGGGAGACTCAGACGTCTCGACAGACTCAGGATGGGCAACAGGCTCGAGGGGATCTTCGGACTCCATAAAGTCGACCGAAGCTTGTTCGTTCAACACCTGTATGCCGAAGACAATTTTCTCATTGCCAATCTTGTGTTCTCGAGAGATGCGATTGCCGTACACATGTGTCTCATAAGCATAAGCTTCGCCCTCGTTCAAATTCCTGTTGAATTTGTTGTCGTTATCGACGAAATCGAGTTCTCTGATGAGGACGTCGGGTTTCACCGAAAGAGAAGGCAGTGGCTTGCCTTCCGACTTTTCGTCGCTGTAGTCGAATTCAAATTCCTGGTAGACAGTGCTGCCAGAGGCCACGTATCGCAGCTTGAATGGAATACCGTTCTTCGAGGTTCGAGAGAAAGTTGGCCATCGATCATTGACAACATCTTCTTTGGCGGGGAAGTCCCATGAACATAAAGAGTCCATACATGGACCGATCCCTGCTTTGGAAGAGATATCACGAGCTTGGGACAGGAGCGTGTCGAGGCGCCACCACACATAGTATGGCTGAGGCATGTCAGGATCGCTGACGCAAAAACCAGTCTTCTTCCCAGGAATGTATCGACTTATTTGCATCAAGCGCCCAGACGTGCCCACGGTTGCAGTGATACCTTCGTTGCCAAAGGAGTAATAGCTTCTGCGGCTTCTCCCCGTTTCAGCCGCCTGGGCAATAGGGTCCGGCGGCTTCGATAGCTTTGGAGTTGCCATTGTCTAGGCGATATGGTTTCTGTGTACTAGATTGGTTGCAAGGAACGACGGAAAAAGCGAGCTGCTGTTGAAACACTCAAGCCTTGGAATGAATGAGAAATCAACGTGAGAGAGAACATCGCTCGGCTATGCCTGGGCGAGTGTCTCTTTAAGCCAAGGAACCCAACCGTTGGCTGGACCGTCGGGGCTCAGGAGGTGAAATGATATCGAATTCCACTTTTGGCACAGCCTGCCTTAGACCGTGGCCAAAATGTGACACCGACGGACCAACCTGCAGGAGGCTTGCTTACTTTAATATCTCACTCTTGGCGATAGTGCAGTCTTTTCAGTCCAAGAACAGCCTCGGGATCTGACCTGCAGAAGTAGAGTCGCGGAAAAGGGCGATGACAGGGTCAACATGCAACATCAGCCCACCACGGCCATTTCCAGACCAGGCTGTATGCATCCACAACTACAATATACGCTGACAGGCGCCAGAAAATGGCGCCGAGAATCAGGCTGGGAACCACGGATTCTGGTTTAGGCTTTAGCCGGAATTGAAGAAACTGGGGCGGCACAGCATACGTCCATCTGGATGTCAGAACACCGCACCTGCTCCATCGACGATTTCAATTCGCCGCGCGATACAATGCAGACACCCTTATTCCTACTCAACCGAGGCTTGAAGTGAATGATTACTGTCATGTCCCTTATTCCTACTCAACCGAGGCTCCAAGTGAATTATGACTGTCATGTTTTCTGTCAGAAAGGCTCTATGTGTCGAGGCGGCTTTCCAGGCTGAGAATTCGTCAAATTCTCGGGGAAATGTTACTGTATAAAGTTGGAACGCATCGTGCCCTTACGATCTAACGGCACAACATGAACGTCTCTTGTGTTGTGTAGGACTTTCCTTCTCTGATTACAGGTTAAAACCAAGCGAGACCAAGTAAGAGTCACATATTACTGCCCAAGAACTCAAATCTGCTTTGAGCTACCTTGAAGCCCACAGGAGGCACCGTGATAGATTAGTCTTCGCAACATACCTCAACGGCTCAACCGCCACCACAAGCGACGCCTTATAGCAAAGTTCAGTGCATTATATCCTAACAAGATAACTCGAAGGGGCCATAGCTTAATGGTAAAGCGTCTCTCGCCCTCTTTCCCTAAATCCTAAAATCCGATATATTCCCAGGCGAGAGAGAGATGGTGGTTCGAATCCACCTGGCTCCAATGCTTTTTGCCAGTTTTATTTGCCTATAAACTTTTGCGGAACATCGCCCATTCTTCTGAACTCTTTTCATTGAAACAATGTCCACAAGGCTCCAAAACACAGATGTCACTCGTTGAGGCGTTGCTCATCTTTGAGACATGATGTGTGACGAAGTTCAATTTCCCTTTCGTTCCTAAACACTCTATAGATATATACACATGAAGTTGAGACGAAGGAACAGAAGATATAGATTGTAGAAGATAGCTCTCAAGGAAGGGAAAACAGCCTCAAAGGCGAAAGAAGTAAACAACACAGGAGATCATGATGATCCTCAGGGCGCAGGCGAAGTCTCATTCGTCGACCCACCCACTCCCCGATCAATCCGCCGGGTAGAACCATCCAACAGATACGAGGACCGACAAAGTCCCTCGGAGGCGGACCAGTAGCTATCGACACACAGGGCCCAGAAGCGAGTAGTAACAGAGCAAGGATAGTACTCGTCCCCTCCGTCTTGACCGAGGTACAGCATGTAGTTCCTGCTCGTCTTGCTGGAGTAGTAGTTGACGGACGATAGCCCGTTGCCCCAGGCCGCGATCTTGTTCCCGCCGCCACAGTCGAACTCTCCCTTGGCCTCGTCCGTGAGACAATCTGGCGAGTTGATAGTGAGGCACTTGATGGAAACGGAACAAACCGATTCTCCTTCCTCGAAGACGTCCAGCACCACCTCCGTATTGATCGGGTGCATGATGATGTTCACAAAGGCCTGCACGCAGGAAAACTTTCCCACGTTGGCGCACATGCCCTTGACACAAATGTTGTACCCTGTACAACCACCTGTATCCGCGCCGCCGCAGCCCCAGGGGATCGCTTGTCGACCGAAAAGTTCCGACTGCGCAGCGAGGCTGGTGCTGTTGTTGATGCTCCTGTCGTTGCTTCTGTCGTCTGCCGTGTATTCCTCCAGGACATCGGGGTCGATCACAGGGATACGCTCTGGATCAAGTTCACGAAGAGCCTCGGGAACCACAGGCTCCCCCTTCTGCTGTTCGACCTGGTGACGTCGGTAACGCCCGTTGGCCGTGGACTGGGCCATCTTTGGCGGCAGTGTCAGTGCTGGAGTTTGCCGTGCCTCTATCGCTGCTGGAGGTGCCGTGGGCCTAGCGCACTTGTAGACCTGCGTGGTTTTCAAGCAGCTAGGGAAAGCAGGCTCACACAACGGTGTGCCGATGACGGGCCAGCCAGGGCAGGGCGCGCGAGTGGGCAGGCAGATGCTGTCGGTGATGCAAACCGACCTGCCGCCGCTGCCGTTGCAGATGGTTGTGGATGTGTAAGTAGCGCATCCCGACCCGCTGTACGGCGCGTCGGTCTCTGGGAGCTGTGGCAGCGTCGGGGTCGCGCAGGCACTGCTGGTGATGCACACGCTTTGCCCGCCACTGCCGTTGCACACCACTGTCGGCGTATACGAGGCGCATGTCGTCGTAGCCGTAGGCAACGGAGGTAGAGTTAGAGGTGGGCCGCCTGTAGTCGTCGGGGGTCGCCGGGTTGTCGGCTTGTGCGCCGGGTCCTCCGGATCCCAATGATCCGGTGGGAAGCCCGTCGGCGTCGGCACACAGTAGTATCCAGTACATAGAGTCCCGCAGCCCGGAGAGCCGGGGACGCATGTCGGTGATGCGGGGCCTGGAGAAAAGGTGATCGGGTCGCCAATACCACCACCTCCAGGGCCGCTCCCCCCGGTGCCGGGGCGCACAACGCAAACTGCGCCGCCGCGACGGACCAACTTTGCGCTGTCATTCGGGCTTCCCGGGTCGGACGCCCCTGGCTGTTGGCAACCGGCGCCAAATGGATCCAAATCGCTGATTTTCCCCTTGGGGCAACTGGGGTGTGCGTCTGGGTCGACGAGGCAATTCTTCTGTTGGTGCATTCCGGTCCAAATGAAGGGTACACTGTCCAGGTTTTGTCTTTCGGCAGGGTAATCGGCAGTCGTGACCTCGAGCTCATCGAGATCTTCTGGAAGATTCACCTCCTCCATCACCCGTTGCATGTACATCAGGAGCTTCCTCACGTTTGCCGGCTTCTTGAGCTCGTCTCCCCAACCGTTCTTGATGCCTGGAAGGGCTCGCCAGTAGGCCACGAGGCCGGCGACCAATGGCGCCGCTACATTCGTACTGGTTAGCGGATGTTGCACTCAGATGCAAGAGAAGCAATATAGAGATGAACATACCGAACGAATTTCCCACATTTCCCCATATCGGTTCACCTGTAGCGGTTTCGACTGTGAATAGCTGGTAGGCCGGAGCCATGACCATCCAATCGGCATGGGGGCTGTGCGGTCCCAAACGGCCGAGGGCATCAACACCACCCACGACAGTGAGACCATCGAGTTTGCGATCGCTCGAACCAGGATTGCCAAACTTGAGGGGCAGGCCGCTCAGATCGTCTCCCAGTTCCACCCAGTTGTTGTGTGCAGCGGCGATTATGACGACGTCTAGTTCTTCGAGTTTCTTCAAGATGTCGTCTGTTCACGTGTGCTGGTCAAAAATCTGGTTCCATAGAAAAGAAAAGCCATGCCGGGGGATTGGAGCTGGCAAGGGACTTTGCAAGGGAGACCACTTACACCATCGATTGTACATAGCGTTTCCCATCACCTTCTGATGGATTTCCTCGGTAAATCCGTACGAGGTGGTGATGATGATCTTACCCCGCTGAGCCTCGCCCAGGCTCTTTACCTTATTGTAAACCCGCACCCACTTCTCAAAGTGTCGCTCCCAGATCATGTTGTTGGGGTCCGCAGGGATCCTGCTCTGATCCTTGACAATGATGATCTGGGCCTGTTTGGCCAGGCCCAACTCCCAGCCCGTGACCTTGCTGGCAACTGGGGTGCCGTGCTCGAAATTGACACCACCGTTAGCTGCGGCGAGGCCCCAGTCAAACTCGTCCAGCTTATCGATTGCCGGTCGTGATAAAGGGACATCTTTTATACCATAGTAGTCCTCAGTAAACTCCGGGTTCTCCCCCCATATGTCATCTTCTAACACGAAGATTGTCTGGCCCTTGCCAAAGGTCTCGTCAGCATAGTAGTACATTTCGTGACCGCCATTCCGCATGCCTTTGGACCAGGTCGAGTCCCAAACCTCGCCAGGACCGATAGAGATCTGCGAAAGTTCCCAGTGCTTCTTCGGGCCAATGTCGATGACTTCTCTGCGCCTCCGTCGGCTGGCGTCAGAGTCAGAGTCTGAGTCACCGTCTCCATCTGAGTCGCCACCGCCAGGGGCATTGGCTTTGACATTCCTGGCGTAGATTCCATAGGCGTCGGCAACGATGTCTCTCCTTCTTTTGAAGTATTCAATGTCGCATGTTCTCATGTTCGGCACAAAGATGAGGGGCACCCAGTCGCTGCCATCAGCATTGTAACCAGTGCCCTTGACTTCCTTCAAGGTGGTGTAAATCTCGGGCTTGTTGTCCTCATCCTCTCCCTTACCCGCAAGAACATCTCTGAGTTGTTGTATGCTGTCCTTGTCGTCTGGGAACCTCAACCAAAGCATGGCGTGGTCGCGGCCATCGGGTGGCTTCTCTTCCGCTCTTCGCGTGAGCCTGCTGGCGGACTTGTCGCTGTTGTCGTCGTCGTCCACGATGGCTGATGTTTCGGGTGCTGAATCAGACAAAGAGGCAGAGACCTGAGCATCAGAGGTGGAAGATGCAGAAGCAGAATCAGGAGCAGCTGTGGGAGTAGCAGTGACATTGGCGATCAGTGTTTGGAAGGACGATACGGGTGCGAAGGTACGGAGTGCGGGAAGGAAGGGGCATTCGCCGCCGCGTTTGCTGGTCGTATCGTACTCCCCATCCAACACCACACACCCACGAATAGTGTCGCACGTAGTGGTGGCTGTCGATGTGAGCGTCCTGGTCGTGCCCTCCGTCACCGTGGTCGAGATGAAGGTCGAAGTGCTGCAAATCTCGGCTTCTTGCGTCTCACAGTCGGTGGGCTGACGCGTAGGGATCGTAGGCTTGCCATCCTTGATTGTAATGGGCGGCCAGGGACCTGGAAGCGAGCCCTTGACAGTCACACCCTCAGGCCATTTGATGGGTGGCGGACCAATGATGACGATCGGGCCAGGGAAGTTCCATCGCCAGCCACCAATCTTCACACGACCCCAGTTAATGCAAATCTAGAGTGTGTATTAGTTACTGAAATCAACAGAAAAGAAGCAAAGGACTGAGGATATAACTCACGAAGAAGAACCAGAGCTGGCAAGTTGAGGTGTCATCGTCGTCGTCATCGTCATCCTCTTCAACCCACTCAAGCTCGTAGCCTGGAGGGAACTCAGTCATGGTTGGGATCGGAGTCGAAGTGCCCGTCCATCGTGTGCAACCGAGCTGGAAGTCCACAGTAGTAGGCTCATCAATACCAACGGTGGCAATGGGCGGACAGTTCCAGTCGAGCGATGTGCCGCCCTGGGCTTCGTCGCAATTGCTGATAGTGATGACGGCGTCGTGCTCCGCTATGTAGTGCGTGTTCGGTGGGCATGTGACATAGACGCCAGGGGCCGTGTAGGTAGAGTCCGGGAACGTCACGGTGAGCGGTGGACCGGATGTAGTCGGGCGACGAGTTGTGGGCCTGCCTGATCCGCCGGGACCGCGAGTGGTGGTTGTACCGGGCCGGGTGTCGTTGCCGCCGCCGATCGGCCAGCCGTTGATCTGCGGCCACGGAGGAAGGGTGACGTTGCGGGTGGTCACATCGCCATTGGGCTTGGTGAGAGGTATACCAGTTGGCGGGAACGTTACGCTTGGGGTGACATAGAAGGGGGCTCCGGGCGTCTCCCCACGAGTGATGTTATGATTCCACACCGGCACTACACTCGTGATAATGGTTCCCACAGTGATGGTCACAGTTGTTGTGGTAACGACAAATGAACCACCTGAAGACGCGCCGACCTCGAGCTCCGTTGTGTATGGGTCCACGGTGATGGTGGTTTGGCTGGGTAGTGTTGTAGGCGGCATGACGAAGACGCAGGGAGGTGTTGCGCACTGCGCCGTGTGCGTGGTGTAGACCTCGGGTCCAATGTAGATGACTTCACCGCCAGGCGTGCCGTCCTCGGGAAACCAGAAGCTGATCTCGCTCGTATAGCCCTGCTGGTTGCCATCGGAGAGTTGAATACTGCTGCCGTCGGTGTTGCCGGTGCCAATCTCCTCTACGGCTTTCGAGAAGATGTTGAAAATGGACACATCTTTAGAGCCGCGTACCTCCATCGCCTTCTCTTGGCAATTTTCGGAATCAAGACAGCCTTGCGTATAGTCGTTGAACCACGAGTAAAGACCAGCACTGTGCAGCATGATGCCCTCGGAATCGATGATCCGCAGACCCCAAGCCATCTCGCAAGTTTCCTTGCCGCAATCAGCCCAGTCCGGATCGCCGGGGAATACGCCAAGGGCTTTTTCCATGGGCGACGGTGACACAGGCTTGGGTTGCATGTAAGGAGACTCGGTCTGGATGTGTCCGAGGTAGACATCTTTGGCACCAAGCATCTCGTACTGATAAAAGATTACGTGCTCTGAGCCCGAGCCGTAAATCCATACAGGGCCTTGGGACTCTATAAGCACTCCGCGAGCGCCGAAGAGAGAGATCTGCGACTTTGATGAATCAAGCTCCCAGTAAAGACTCATATCATTATCGTGGTCGGCAACCCAAGCCCAGAAGTTCTCAAAGTAGCCGCTTGCCTCCGTGGTGACGTGGAGAAGCATGGACACGCAGATACAGACATCGTTCTGGCTGAACTTGGGGCATGTGGCGATGTCAAGATCTGTGCCAATGCCGCCTCCCACGCGGATGTGCGAGTCCCAGAGCGCCGCTGCGCCCTGAGAGCTCTCGTGGATGTTCCATTCCATCATGATGGCACCAGCCGTCGGGCCCTTAGCTGTGAATAGCATGTCGACGATTTCCATTGTGCCCACGTCACCCTTCTCACCAACACGAACAACAACCTTGGGGTTTTCCATATCTCCAAAGTAGCTGCCTGTGGCCTGGATCTGGGACCAGCCAGTTCCTTGGATCTTGGAGCCTGAGGGAAACGTCACAGTGCCCTGGACGGAGTAGATACCTGCAGGGAAGTAGGCAACCTGTCCGGCACTGGCAGCCCGCTGCAAAAAGGAGTTGATTGCGGCCGTGTTGTCGCCTGTACCTTCATTGCTACAGCCGTTCTCTGTCGCAATGAGGAAAGACGACACCGGTAGGCTTTCATATTGCGGTCGAAGCCTGGTGAACAGCTTGCCAGAGCCATCAAGCAGGGCATCTGGCTTGGTGGGCCGGTTCTCAACGTGGCCAGTCGCGCGTTCGCCTTCGCCGCCGATGTAGCGGCGGCCGTGAGCCCAGAGCGCGACGGTGGTGCTACCTCCGGGGAGGAGGATATCACCACCCTCGACGATGACGATGGCACCAACGTTGTTGAATGCAGTGTTGTCAATGACAATGTTGGGCGGCGCGGTTGCATGGTCGTTGGTGAGGACGCCGATGGGGACGTTGCTGACGGTAGAGTCGATGATGGAGACAGAGCCAATACCTTGGCCATCTATACCGCCGCGGCCGCTGATGTTGAAAGCGATGCTGCCGCCCTCGATATCGATTTTGTGCCAGTTGAAACCCCAGTCCCAAACCATCTGCACGGCTGTGATACAGTTACGAAATTTGAGGGAGGTGGCCGTATACTGCTGCGAGCCAACGCGCCAGCCGATAGCGCCACCCTCGAAGACAAGGTCAGAAACGAAACCACCGGACCCGTTCTCGGTGAAGATACCGACATGTGTCGGCGGATCGCCTCCAGAGCCTGCCGTGGGCATGCGAAACAAGAGATTTTGCAGACTGCAGGCTTGGCTGACTTGCCAGTGAATGCCTGTTGGGACTAGTTTCTGGTCATTTTCGTCCGTTGCAGCTGGCATGTCGTTAAGGTCGAAGACGAAGTTGCGGATTTGCCGGAAGAACTGGTTCTGATTAATGTACCAGTTGACGCCGGTTCCTAGAAGAGGGATGTTAGTCTGATGTCTGTAAGAATAGACGCTATTCAGGGATGGCTAATGGCCACTATCCCCTAGTTGGAGTGCCTCAGAGCGCAGAAACCATTGCGTTGGAGATCGGTCGATATCACTGAGAAGAAAGGGATTGCTCACCGTCGGGCTGCGCTTGGTTGGGAACATAAGGGTCCACGTCAATCATAGCGATGCCGGTAAACTCGTCACAGCCCTTAATGATCGGTCGGTCGTTCGGATCACCGACAAACTGGGTCAGATAATATTGAATAATGGGCGTGCAGACTTTGTACGTTCCGGGCGGGAAGTAGATGAGAGCGCCAAGGACGAACGTGTTTCCACATTCTTCACCACAGCGGTCACCGTCGATAATTGCTGTTTCGCTCGTCAGAACACCGAAATCAAAAGAGCTTCAGCGAGAGTTCCCACCTGCATTGATGGCCTCTTCTGTGTTTGTCGCGCCGGTGTTGTCGGCCCCATAGTCCAAGACATTTCTATAAAAGACGTAGCCGTCTCCAGCATGGGGAGCCTATGTTTTTCAATTGTCAGCAGGTGCTGCATTCCTCTCTGTTGGCGAAGCATCTTGTCAAGGAGGCGGCAATCCTTGTTTTGATGGTGACAGTGGTGTTTGTGAGAGAAGTCAGGGGCAGGGTGACGAGGTGGAAAGACCGTGCCGATGGCCGTCATTCGCTGCTGCCACCTGACACCACCTGGTCTCAGCGTATTCGTCTCGAATAAGAGGAAAGAGGCCGGACGACTCCGCTGGACGACTATAACAACAACAACGACAATAACATTAAGAGAAGATGACAAACCTTGCCCAAAGGTCCGAGAGAAGGAAGCCAGAAGCTTCCTCCCTGGCGATTCTGTAGTGTGCTGTTGGTGTGCACCGGTGGTCCTCCTGTTGTCGAGTTGGGGAGAAGACCAGCCGCTTTCTTTTCCGCGAGCTTCTTCATGTAGCCCTCGAAGCTGCCAGACTCTTTCCAGACAGGTCCATTGTATTTGCCTGTATCATCAATCAGAACTTCCAAATCGGAAACAACACATCGGTATAAGGAACGGCCTACCCTTATTTGGCGCCACTCCTCGCCTATTCCCAGTGTTGTCGACCATGTAGTCAGGAGAAACTGGTGGCGCCTCCTGGAAGGCCTGCGGGAAAGATGCCACACGCGCATTGGGCTTGAGTCTATTCCACTCCTCGTCCGTCTTGTCTGTCTGGGCGACCGAGACGACGATGCTGCTGAACAGCAGCACCAACGAGACAAAAAGCCTCCGTATCGGCGCCATCGTGTCTCTGGAGTGTTGATCCAGATCCTGGGAGGTCGGAGAACGAGGTACGGGAGTATACGAGTGACATTGGGAACCAATGACTACCAGTGATGGATACAAAGTGTACTATATACCAACTCCCACGAACTTGCCGCAACTCCGTTCTCGTTGTCAGCCTACAGCGTCCGCGGAGTATTACTCGACGGCACAGTCTCGTCAGGGGGTCAACTCACATCAGACAGAAGGATCAAAATTTCACTCTAGTTGTAGGATTAATCACATGGACATCTTTTTCGGATGGGTATAAGCGGCTCAGAATGACCTCGCCCCTACATCACCCGACTGAAGCCCCTTCAAAGGAAGCGGCGAGACAGTACTTCCGGTGCCTGTGTAAGGGGAGACCAAGAGTGCCTCTTCGGTAACGGCGGATGAAGGTGACGGAAGACTCAGAGCTAGCTCCGCGACGATCTAGCTTTGTTTAGAGTTGTTAAACGAGGTTATCCACAACTACCGAACCCTCGAGACCGTAAGCAAAGGACCTTTCGCGCCATCATCCCGCTCATCCCGTTCTGTTGAAGTCCTATGTATGAGCGATGCTCCCTCGGTTCTTTGCAAAATAGGTCTAGTGACAGACAGTTTCGGTGAACTAGTACTCTATTTGGGGGCGCAGTAAGAGTCAAAGTGGTTCCCGTGGTCGGCAGTGGTTACATCGTGAAATCGACTCACTTGCTTAGTGGCCACAGAACTGTATAGTATTAGATGAATCCGAGAAGGATTCAGTTGCCCACACAACTAACGTCTTGGCATGCTAACTCAACTCTATATTGGGGGCTAGGGAGACCTGCGTCTTAGCGGCACAGCTCCGTGAGGTTCCGTTAAAGGCAGGTCAGTCGGAATACACGTGAGGGGGCTGACGAGTATGTAGACTTTTTGTTCCTGCGTATCCTTGGCGCAGTCTTGCGGGCCGAACCTGCAGTCTGCATTGTACCTGCACTGATGTGAAATCAAAAAGATGCGGCCGTGAAGGCAGGATCGCAGCGGAGAGAGAAACGAAAGTTCCTCGCTTGAGAGTCAGATTACGCCTCTTTCCAACATGCAGTAGTCGTACGTCGCTTGAGACTATCGATATGCGATGCAACCACTTTTCCCTAGTGTTCGTGTCGAAAGAGGCCTCATGATACTGATCCTTCTACTGTTGCCTGATGGACTCGGTGTATCGAAATCCCGCAAGTGAGTTGACGTGAGAAACATCGTGAGTCCTCCAACAATGGGTCGGATGATGTGAAATCCTGTCTGAACATAAAGAAGACGGTGGCTCTGTCGCCCCGTTTTCAAGTCTTGGTCCTCATCCTCCAAGTTTCAATCACCACACAGCCTGCCCTTCTTCAGACTTAAAGTCAAGATGCGTCCTTCCCAAGTCCTCAGCGCCGTCCTCATGGGCGGCGGCGTTTCTGCCGCCGCCGTTGAAGTTGTCACGCCTCTCCGTACTTGTAAGTTGAGACCCTCAGCGCATCATCTCCAGCAACAGGAGTAGCTAACCGTCACAAGGTCTCATCCCCGAGCCCGACAAGCGCATCTGCTACTCTGAGGCCGGCGGCACCCCTCAGGGCCTGGACTTGAAGGAGGTCCAGTACACGGCGGACTACCTCCGCGCGTACCAGGAGCAGCAGCTCTCCATCGGCGGATCCCCCTTCTGGAAGATGCCGCTGCCCGAGGCGAACAACTGCGGCGAGTGGCAAGTCACCAGCAAGGGCCGCACCTGGGTGATGGCCAAGCTCGTCGGCGAGCAGCAGGCCGGGGTTCTCTTCTCCGACATCGCCGCCACCATCGACGGCTTCGCGCTCGAGGACCCCACGCGGGCGCTGCTGAACTGCAGCAACGCCGGCGGGCAGATGGGCACCATCGTCGACACGGAGAACCCGCTGTATCAGACGCAGCTGTTTGAAGGTTTCACCAACAAGGGCATTATCATCAAGCTGGTCAGGAGCCCCATCTAAGGGTGTATGTAGTTAAAATCCGCCTGCGGTGTCGGAGGAGTAGCAGAAAAGGGGTTTGTACATGTAGCCAGCCAGAGGCATTCAATTCATTCATGATCACCTCTGACACTCATACCGAAGAAGTAGAGGCTTGCATAATGCATATACTTGGTACCATTGGCTTGTTCCTTTGCGGCACCGCCTACTATATGAGTCTACTAGCGAGAACCCGTCTTGTCGATAAGCGCGTAATGAGAAGTTGAATGAGAACATGAGATTAAGAAACGGCGGCCGCCACTAGTTGCTTAAGCATGCGGGAAGGGCGTAAAGGCCCGATCTGCCGCTCACTTGGGGCTTATGTTGCGATTCGTCGGGAAACAAATGGAGTCGCCATGGGTTCCAAAGAGCTTCCTCTTCCTCTTTAGGACCAGCGATCCTTGGCAGATGTAAGTCCGAGTATAACCACCTGCCTATTTAAGATCTCACGAGCTGGTGTGGATACATGTAAAATCCTTCGATTAAAGGACGTACAGTCTGGTGATAAAGCAACAGTTTAAAGAGGTTCGGTGGTATTATGCATCAACGAGGCACACCTGTCGCACTTGTTGGGGGCAACAAATACACTACCCATTAAGGTAAGAAACAAGCTTATTCGACTTTGACTTGGAACCATGAGAACACGTCCGCGAAGCAACCGATTGGACGCCAAGCCCGGCGGTCCGATCCCGCGAATGATACTCGACGCCGCTGACATGCCGGGATGCCGGGATGCACCCGCAGGGCTGTTGCCTTAATTTATGGGGCTCCGGCTTTAATCTCTTGTCCTCACGACATCCCATCCATCCATCTTTACATGCTTGGCCCCGTCCCGTTCTACCCGAACTGTAATGAATACAGTCGGCCGCCTTGCGTTTTTTATGGCCCGATCCTTCCATACAACCTCACAATCGCTCACCGAGAAACACCCTGGGCTCGTATAGAGCTCTCTTCACGTAATGGATCAGTCGGTACGCAAGCATCTCCCCTCCAAGTTGGAGTCGCTGCCCACCGAGCTGCTCGAGGCCATCTTATCCGCCTCACGCTCGAAAATCGATCTCCACGCTCTCATCAGTGCCTCGCCCCTGCTTTACAGAGTGTTCCTGTCAGCCAAGCGGGCAGTCTTCGTCAGCATTTTGGCCAGGGATCTGGGTCCGGCCCTGCGGGACGCCGTAGCTCTCACCACCCCAGCTCCAGCCAAAGACGACTACCACAGAGATGAGGAAAAAGCAAAAAGGATAATACAGCAATATCGGGCACTGCCCCGCGGCGAGCAAGGTCTGATACCGGCAACCGTCGACGAAGCCGTGGCACTGCTCCACGTGAATCACAGCGTTCAATTCCTCGTCGACGAATTCGCGACGTCGAGGCTCCCGGAGCTCGAAAAGATACGCCCAGACGCCGCCCGTCCACTCACATTCACAGAACGTTGGCGCTTGGCGCAGGCCCTGCTACGACATCAAATGCTAACCACCGTCATCCAAGGCCGTGATGATACCCCACCGCGAGGATCCACGATCCTCCCTGACTTCTTCGGCCTCTTCAACCCTTGGGAAATGCACCAGCTGGCCGACGTCCACTCTTTCGTCTGCGAAGCCGTACACGAGGCCTTCTTTTACTGCCGGGAAACGAACAGGAAGCCAAGGCTGATGGATAGCCCTCCTACGGAGTTGCAGAAGGAGAGAGCCGCGGCGTACTGCGATCTCTCTGCACTGCACCGAAAACTCGTCTCGGAGCGAGCTCGCCTGGATGCTGATCCGGGGATCACAGCGGCACCGTGGCAGCCCCGACAGAGAACGCGGCCCTACGGGGCCGACACGAAGAACATCGCGGCCCGGTTCAACTGCCTCGTAGCAGGGCCCTTACCCGTGGTCCAAGGCTCCCATAGGGTGGCGGAAGAACACAGGGACGTCCGTGACGAGCTGTATCGGCGCGAGGATGCGATGCCGCCCTTGACGCACGACGAAGACGACTATTCAGGCCCGCCGTTCGGGTGGGTTGATGCTCATGGCAGGATCGACTGCCAGCGATGGGGCAAGCATGCTCGCCGCGAGGTGTTACCGCCAGGTCAGGAGGAGTTTGAAATCCGTCAACGAGGTTGGATGACGCAGCAACTGGACCAGTGGCGCTGGCTGGGCTTCGCCTTCTGGGACCGGGATCGTGTCGAATTGCTCAAGGCGCGGATGCCGGCGTGGAAAGCCGGATGGCTTACGGTCGCGCCCCCGCCTGAGGAGGAGTGTGAGATATACACAACGCCCCAGCAGCCCAGGATTCGGCGTACCAGACGTCGTGCTAGAGAGTCTGCTCCGGAGATTACTCCAGGTGTTGAATGATGGTAAGATGCTTGAGTGATCAGTCTGAGGACCTATACATATATCTCATATCTTCCAGCTACCGCTAAGCCATACTCATCACGTCCTCATATAACATAGACGATCTTACAAGTTTACTATCTGCTATTTAATACACCGCGGCAACCCCTTTAATTGATTAATCAACTAGATATATTGAGCGAAATACCTCTATACTTCACAGGACCGCAGGGAAAGATACCAGCGGTAATGAAGTGTGAAAGAGTGAATTGGTGCAGGCAATGCAAGGAGGAAGGGAATGAACCAAATCACCTCCTCTGAAGCCAAGTGGCCCTAGGTCTTAGCATGTGCCTCGTTCTTGAGTGTAAAAGATTGTCTGAGAGAATACATGAGATCATCCCACTTCCCACGCCTTCAATCTCGCCATTACGGGTCGTACAGTGTAGACCAGTTCCCGGCCGGAGCGGATCCAAACTCCCGGACGCGGTCCGGCCACCTACCGCCGGACTATCAAAGCACTGGTAATACCGAAACAACAACTTCCGAGGCATCACGGGTGCTGGGAGAGTCAAGTTGATAGTAATATAATACGAAACCGATCAACCCGGTACGCCGCGCTGGAGACTAAAGGGCGTTACTCTGCCTTGGTGTGAATGCTGTGGGCATTTCCTGTTGAAGGATATTCGAAATTCTCGTCAGGTGTCCCATTAGAGGCTATCTACAACATGAGTTGTATGCTAAAAAGGTACGTCCAGATCTTAAGAGCTCTTATAGCATCATGATGTCATGATGCTTTGGAAATAACAAGAGAAACAGTTCCAAAAGCCTAACAATTCCGAAGTATACCATAATCTTAGAAGATGTGTTTATCGTCGAATATCAGAACCGCGGATTAAATAGGGATTAACGTCTACCGATATCATTATCATGTATATATGCAATCCTCACCACCAACCATGCTTTCTTTCCCCGTCTACCACTTCCCATTACCTCACCACCTCCTCCTCTTCATCCCCATCCAAAATAATCTCATGCCCATCACCCTCCCAAACGACCCAACTCGCCAACACCCCCAGCACCGCAACGCCCGCCAGCCCCCACCACACCGCACCCACGACCCCGTTCGCGAGCCCCTGACCGTACAGATACCCGCACAGCACCGGCCCGATCGTGCGCGCGGCGCTGCTCACGCTCTGCCCCAGCCCGTGGATCGTGCCCAGCACGCTGGGGTGCGGCGTGCAGTTGTTGATGAGGATCGTCTGGCCCGGCAGCGCGAACGTGCGGCCCAGGACCTGGAAGAGCAGGACGCCGACGATGGCGAACCAGATGGCCGGCCCGCCCTTCGGCCCCGGCGGCGGCGCGGACTCGGTGGTCGGGACGACGGCGAGGTAAGGGACGAGGAAGTAGGTCACCGGGAAGAAGTAGAGGAAGAGCCTCCACGCCTTGACGGTGCCGAGGTGCGCGGAGAGGCGCGGGTAGACGAAGAGCTGGAGGGTGATGCCGATGACGCCGAGGATGGCCATGGCCATGCCGACGGACTTGGGGGGCATGCCGAGGCCGCCGGTGAAGCGGAAGGGGAGGTGGGGGTCCCGGGTGGAGGTCGGGGTGGAGAGGAAGACGAACCAGAGGGAGTTGAAGGTGCCGACGTGGAAGGCCAGGAGGAAGTGGGCGGAGAAGGTCATGACGACGTTGCGGGTGAAGATGCGGCGGAAGGGCAGGCGCTGGCGGTACCGGGGCTTGGGCTTGGGTTGCGGGGCGCTCTCGGGCGACATCTCGACGTCGGTGCTGCTCGCGGAGCTGGAGTGGAGCTGGGCGTAGGCGGCGTCGTCGAGGCGGATCCCGGGGCGGCGGCCGTAGCGGATCCGGGCCCATACCCTGCGGATGAGGCCCGCGATGCTCGACCCGATCCTGGTGCCCAGGTCTGGGCCTTCTTCGCGGAGCGCATCGAGGGTTTCGTCGAGGCATAGCCAGACGGAGAGAGCGGCGCATGATAGGAAGACGGCGCTGAGAATGTTCGGCGTGGCGTAGGGGTACTTCTTGAAGAACTCCACGTCTCCGAAGAGAGAGGGGTAGCTCTCGGCAGGGGAGGAGAGTATGCCGCCGAGGATGGGACCGATGATGACGCCGATGTTGAAAGTCATGGGAAGCAAGATGAAGGCGCGGGCCTGGTACTTCTTCTCGCGGACGATCTCGCTGATCATCGTCCTGAGAACGCCGACGTTGCCGTTCGTCGCGCCGCCGATGCAGCGGAAGATGAGCGCCTGTGTGAAGCTCTGAGAGAAGCCGAACCCGATGCACGAGAGACATGTTCCTATCAGACCGATCATGAGCACTGTCTTGCGGCCGAAGCGTTTGGAGTCTGCGAGACGGCCCCAGACCATGGCCGTGATGAACTGCGCTGCTGTGAATGAGGCGTGGAGGATGCCAGCCTGGCTTGAGATGACTGAGTCCGGGAGGGTCGGGTCAAACCACTTCAGTTGGTAGAACATGTAAGACTATGTGGTATTAGCAACAGCAATTTGCGGTACAGATGCTTTCTCGTATGCTTTCTCAGAAGCTTTCTCATATGAGACCGTAGATAAGACGCCTGAGTAGGCGGAAATGAGAAGATGTTAGCCCACGAACCTGTAATGAAGTCTGCACAAGCGGCTCGCTCAACCTCGTGAGCGTGATGACCAGCAACTGCTGTTTCTGCGGCAGATCGCGCCATGCCACCGGCTTGGGCTTCTCAGGCGGCTTGATGAGAGGTTGCTGCTCCGGATGTCCCGGGCTAACGAGCGTCTGGGCATCAGCGGCCTCGGTTTCCGGCCCTGCGCCGTCGAGGGTTCTCAGCACAGGAGATCCCTCTCCGACGTCGTCCTCGTCGTCCGAGTCCTCTCGTTCGGAATCCGCATCGTCGTGGTACGGCTGCTGCACCGGTTCATCTTCCGTGCGCGGCGGCATGCCGTGATCTGCGTCGCCGACGAGTTCCGGGGTAGGTTGGTCTGGGGTAAAGCTACGTCACTCCAGTTGTCGATTGCCGAAATAAGGTGATATGCCGTGCTTGAACGAATGACGTTGAGGGGCACAATTAAAGTCTATGGATCGACCACGCTATGCAGTATGCAAGAGGTGCAGGTGGAAAACAAGTAAAAAATGATGAAAAGAAGTTGAGAATCGAGAGAGGAAACATGAATGCCTGAAATGCTTTCCGCATCGGCAAAACCCCGACGCGACGGGACGGATTGGAGCCGGGGTCAGAGGTTGTGTGTGACAGCACCAACCACAAAAATCAAACGAAACGGAAAGCGGTTGCCGCCACTTGCGTATCCGCGAGTTAGTGCAAGGGAACGCATGCGACGAGAGTCAGCAGTAGCAAAGTACGGCCTCTTATCGCCGAGTTCGCACTTTTCCTGCTATTGCGTGCGAGTTCAAACATCCAGTCCGCTATGCGTGAGCAGACGAGAAAAGTGGCGAAACAGCCGATTACGGCGCCGGCAAAGCGGACGGTCTCCGTCCTTTTCTCGTCGCCTGAGGTCGGGATTTCTGGGTACTACGGCCGTCTAAGTTGCGGAGCCCCCGAATGCCACCGGACCTCGCAAACGGAACCGAAGGTTCTACGTCTTCTCGAATGCTCTGTGACAATTCTCTATTTGACTTCATCTCCTGCAGGAACAAGTTGAGAGCCACATTTTCAAGATATTCCATCTCAATTCTCATGCAAAACCGGGGTCAGACAGGACCCACCACAAACCAAGTCAGCGAATGTCGCAATTAGCCGATTCGGTGCCGACACCCGCTTCCATCGCCTATGCGGTGTCGTCCTGAGCTAGGCTTTAGCAACCTTCATAGTTCATCGCCAGCTCATACTCGATCGTTTGATGCGCTGTTAATCTGACAAGAGTAAAGCTCGTCATTCAAGAAGCCGCGAGGACTCATGCTGGCCGATATCCGACACAAATACATTATATGTACAAATCGCTGCAACGCAGGGACGGAAGCAAAACATCAAAGGTCAGAGCGGTAGCGGTATTTCGTTCAGTTGCGTATCCCCCACCCTCATAACGCCGTAAGCGTAAAGAATCATCACACTTGACATCCACGCTCTCCAACTTAGACCATCTCCCGTGGTTGATGCGCTGATCCGAGGTCGTTGGCCCGATAGTCGCGGCTGCCGCTGCGTTCCTTGGTCGGATGAGCCGGATCTGCGACCATGCTCGTCAACCCAATGTTTTGGTTGCCCGATGGCGGCTGGTATGCCGGCGGAGCGCCTGCATAAGTATAACCGCCGTGTGTTGGCGCCTGCCGCCACGGCTCCGGGTTATATCCACCAGGTTGACCCGGTGCGCCGTACTTGGCGGGGCCGTTACGACGGCGGACCCACGTCCGGCCGAAGGTGAAGAAGATGGAGAGCGCAAGCAGCAGAATGATGAGGCCGGCGAGGAAGTAGTTGAACTTGCGGTTCAGAGCGAAGGAGAAGCCCCTAGGGTGAAGGTTAGCTAACTGACAGCGGGAACCAGATGCGCACAGACGTACAGGAAGGCGTTGAAGGTGCCCAAGGCGATGACGATACGACCGAGCCACACGTGGACCGTTTTGTAGATTGTCGTCTGTCCCGTCTTCTTGTACTTGGAGTGGTGCAAGAACCCGAGAGCAAACTGGACCATGCAGAAAGCGACCACGATGAAGCCGAGAATCTGGTGAGCAGAATTGAACCCGCGAGACTGAGCCCATGTTAGTATGCATCTCTTCGCCAGACGAACATCGCAACTTACGCGGGTGTACCAGAAACTGGTTAGGATACCCAAGATAAAACCGATGATGACGACGAGTAGAGCCACGCCTTGGTTAAGGCCATGCCACCGGACCATGTCACCCAAGCGCAGGAGCACGACGCCAATGGGCATCATGAAGACCAAGGCGCCGACCATCAGTACTGCATGGAAAATCGACTTGTAGTCCCTCTTTCCGTCATTCGCGTCGACCTGCGATGTACCCTCATTCACGGCGTCATCCTTAAGCACGGGAGCGTCGCCAGGACCAATCGTGCGCTTCATGTTGATCGTGAACCGCCCAAACTCCTCGTGGAACTTGACTGACGACTCGGGTCGATTAGAGAAGAAGCCTCCCTTGGGACCAACAGCGTAGATTGCCTTCTGCGTTTCACTAGACACGTCGACATATCCGCCCGGCCAATTCCTGCAGTGAGCTGTGCAGCGTGCGCTGAAGAACATGGAGCCGTTGAATACTCCGGTTCCTGGAAGGGTTTCCCATTTGACATGGTCGTAGTAAGTTGGCTCGTAATTGCCGTAGGCCACTCGCGGCGAAAACGTCACATTGTTTCCCGTCTCGTCGCGATAGATCATGAGAATCAGACTGCCGGCCATCTGGGTCTGTCCGAGGCCGATGGCAGCCCATTGGCGGTCGAGCGGTGCGCGGATTGTGATGAAGACATCTTCGCCGCTGTTCTCGGGGACTGTGAAGCCGAATGCGACATTGTTTTCGGGGGCGACGTAGGTTGATTGTCCTAGGTCGGTCTTGTCTGAGGTGTCTGCGGCAAGAGTCGAGGGGGTGAGAGCTGCTGTCGCGAAATGTTAGCGGAGTGTTCTCGTATTCTGTCTATGCCTGTTGACGAATTCTAGGTAGGGACCCATGATGGTATGACGGGAAGGAATCGAGGTCTCAGAGGTTTGGGTATGGGTAGTCGGAGGAATAAGCACTTGTGCCACTAACCTGCAGCAAGGACAGCGCGCCGTATCCTCGAAAACAACATTGTGGCGCGTGTCTGTGTGAGGGCACTCCTGCCTGATCGTCAATCGCAAATATCGTTGTTGTCTATCGTCGCAGTTCGTATGGGTCCGTCGTCGTCGTGAAGTTGATGAAGTCAACGACGAGAGGGAGATGCGTGAGAAAGGGAGAAAGGGATCGGTGGTATGGTAAGCGCAGAAGTCGAAAGGAAAGAGGAGGCAAACGCAGATTAATCCCCCTTGGAGCGATACAGAACGGACGACATGTGCTCGTCAAGAAACTCAAGACTTGGCAGCCTGAGGGTAAGGTGGTACCCTTCCTCTCCCTCCCTCAGGATAGCAGCACTTTGCCCTCCAAAAGCAGCCGTCGCGCCCGCTACAATTACATTTGGCCATTATGCTTGATTCACCACGTAATTTCAAGACCAGCACGACCCCGGCAACCATCTGGGCAGATCAGGCACAGCAAGAGCGGCCACCAACAGGGAACGTTGACACTTCCCCCAGAGCGGCGCTAGCGAAGCGGGGCGGTTGCTGATTCATCTTCATCTGTCCAATGAGCGGTCTTGCTTACTCCTCACAGGCGTGGTTGCCCCCCCTTGCTACCCCACCGGTCTTGCTTTTTCGAATTTTAGCTTTTGGACAAGGGACCCGCAACCCGCAGCTAAATTGCGCCTCTGTTGACGAGAGAGGAAGGCCGAGACCACTCAATTTCCTGCTTTCCCGCTTTTTTTCTTTTCTTTTCTGCCCTGTCGTCATTCTTTGTCCGCCGGGGAAAAGAGATGCGGATTGACGTAAGGTAAGGTACGCACCGACATTTGCATATCGACATTTCTCCAGATTCTCCAGAATATGTTTTTTTCTACCGAACAGAATCCCGACTAGTCAAGCCAAGTCGCTAACAGCAACCCCGCGCCTATTGACGTCGAACCGTCGGCCTCCGTAACGAACGCTGCGTCTGGGCGACGGAAGCCATGACCATCTCCGTCAACCTGATTGGCCGTCGTCCCATCCATCTCAATGCCGCCGCCCTCCATCATCGCCTCCTCGGCGTACCACGACCCAAGATCCTACTCCTTTCGAAATGCGAAGAAAGCATGTTTGGTCATCGGGACAGACACAACACATACGTTCGGGCTCGCAAACAAGGTTCAGCGAGGACCTGTTTGGAAGAATGGCTCCGGACGCACTGATTGCGTACGCTCCCTCATCCCGACCGGCATCACGAAAAACTCTACGACATGTGAGACAATGGCGGTAAAGACTGGGCTATATTTGGTTTCTGGTTTTATCCCGCAAACTAACTGCTATCGATTCCACTGCTGAACGATCGGCTGAGGCAAGGGACCTCCAAGATGGAAATTCACACAAACTAGGTTACCGTCCACGTGGCCGGCAAGAACGGAACAGATTCGACGACTTCCTTCCGTCGATGATGATCGCCGAGTCTTTGCTCAGAACAGTTTGTGCTCAAGCGTCATCTCGGACTCGGGCTCCAAGCCGACGCAGGCGCGGAATATGTTGGTGAGGGCCGCGCGCTGCTTGCTGAGCGAGTTGATGACGGGCGTTCCGGGGGGCGTCATGGGCGCCTTGAGCATGTAGCTCAGGATGCTCAGCACGCTGTGGAAGCCCTTGAAGTCCTTGGTCGCCGCGCCGTCGGACGACACCGCCTTCCACTGGATGCGCGTCATCATCTCCGCCACGAGCACGAGGTCGATGATGAGCGGCGATGCCAGCAGCGAGTCCTCGCAGACGTTGAAGAGAGAGATGGTCTGGTGGCCGCCCATGAAGATCTCGGCGTAGTACTCGTCGAGGGCGCGCTTGTTGTCGCCTACGGCCGGCATGTACTTGATCACCACGGTGTGGTCTGGGTGCTCGCCCTTCTTGTAGAGGACCGTGTTGGCCTCGACCATGTCGTCCACGACGTTCGACTTGGAGATCTCCTTGGAGCGGAACTGCTTGTGGGAGCTGAGGTTCTTGCCGTCGTTGTTGCCGAGATGGTTGTAGCTGGCAATCGAGGTGAGCTTGATACCTGCGTTGATCAAGAAGTCGACCAGCGCCGACTTCATCTTGGTCTGGCCCGACTTGAAATCGTCGCCGCCGATAAAGGCACCGTGCTTCTCAGCCAGCTCGATGGCGCCGGGAACAAAAGTGTTCTGCGGGGACCCGTTGATGAAAGGCACGCCCTCGAGAGTGCAGGCAACGGAAAAGACGGTGGAAGGGGAAACCTCCTCGTGACCCTCTTCGATGGCCTTCAGCAAGTTGTCGGCGGTATCGTTGACGCCCGGGATGATGTCGGCGTAGCGCTCGGTGTTGGCGGTCCACTGAACGATGACCTTGTCGAGGCCGTTGGCCTCCTTGAAGTCACTGTGTCCCATGAGCATTAGCGCTTCAACTAACCTCTTGTGCAAACTCACCGAATGTCCTTGCGGATCTGCTCAACATGAGCCATGCAGGCCTTAGTACCAGGCAGCACATTGTCAGCTCGGTCTTCCTGGTTGGCAGCGATGAAGTCGGGGTAGTAAATGCTCGGAAGCGGGACCATCTCCGCCATCTCCTTCTTGACCTGCATCTTGAGAGTCGGCTCCAGCACCTGCGCGCGGTCCATGGCGGCAGCCAGATCCATCTTGCTGATGTCCCAGCCTCCAATAGCAAGGTCGTTCGGGTGGACCATGGGCAGCAGGTCGTGGAACGGGATGTTGACATCCTTGGACGTCTCGGCATCCGTACCCAGCTTGACGGTCGATCCCATGATGACGGAACCGTAGTAGTTGGCGGCCCGGGGTCCTTCGCGGGTGTCCCAGACGAGACCGCGACGGTTGGCGAGGATGCCGGCGGTAACGGTGGTTCCGTTGTTACCACCCCATCCGACGAGCATCATGCCGACCTTGGGGACCTTGCGGTCCGTCTTGAACTCGTAGAGCGTCTCGGTGGGCGTGGCGACGTACTTGCCATTGCCGTTCTTGGCGACCTTTGTGGTGCGGTAGGTGTACTTTGACAGGATTTCGGTGTCGTTGTAGACGACGTTGGGGGAGTCGACGGTGAACAGCTCGCGGCTCTGAGCAGCAGCGGCGGCGCCGTTTCCGTGGGGGGTGGGTCCATCTCCGTGCGCGGAGCCCGAGTCTACCTCTGCGTGGGGAGCCATGGCGACAGAGGTAGCGGTTTCAATTTGGTTCAGGTTCGGGTTAATCGTTTGGGCTTGGTGTGTTCCAAGGGGCCTTTAGAGATCAAAGGCCGAGTCCGCTGAACCCCCGGGGGCGGCAGAGCAGCGGGCTCCTGCGTATGGATGATGGACCCTGGGAGGATCATGTCAGTGACTGCTGTTCTATCTCTGCCGAACTTCGTCGAGGGCAAGACTCACGAGTTGAGGAGGTTGGAAAACGTCTTGACGACGGGGTGATCGCGACTCGTGAGCGCGATCAGACAATTGGTGAGGATTTTCGGATTGGAAAGGGTTTGTGAGACGATCTGAACTATCCTTTCTTTCGTTTTTCTCTGTAAGACTTGACTTTCAGGATGAAGAGTAAGAGAGGAAAGAAAGCGGGATTGCGGGATGAGGGTGGGTTCAAATAGGTAAGTCGAATGAACCGCCGTCCGGGACGTCGGGGGCTTGGCGCGAAAGCCGTGCGGTTCCTGGCAAGCTAACGACACGTCGTCCTGTCAAATGTCAAGCGGTGAGGCCGGCCGCGCGACGATGTGGAGCCCACTGGCGTGCGCCTTTTCCGGGATGCGACAGATGGAAAACGCGGGCGTGGCTTGGGCTTGGCTCTGCAGTGGGATGGATGGCTGGATGAACCGGAGGAGGGACAATCAATGTAACTTTTACGCGTAATGGAGAGAGAAGGCGAAGTCCTTTTGCTGATTACGCCGGCTGGTGTTGGCGTACGAGCAACGATGCGGTCTTCGGGAGGATTAGGGGCGGTTTGTTGAACGTCAGGTACCGCGTGCCTGACGGCGAGGTACCTTTTTTCAAGTATAGTGACGAATGGTGAGCCTGCACCTTGTGAGATAAGACGGGACGAGATGAGATGAGCGCAAATCGTGGTCAGGAGATGCAGATGGAAACAGTAGAAGCTGAGTATCCAGAGGTCTCGTGCTCGTGAAGCTTGGATATGCACGGATTTGGACCTCCTCGTAGAGTTGCGCATTATCTGTTCTCTTTCTTCCGTGATCCGACGACGGGATGAACTGCACCTAATGGCTTTCACATGTCGCCGTACCTTAGCCCGTATCCGTACCTTGCCTACCCTTATCTTCAGCCACACCGAATCTACTTGGAAGGTCCTCACACGACATCCATGCGCGGGCGCCAACGTCGTTAATTTACCCCATTCATATCATACCACATCATTCGACTTCACTTTATACTCACTCGATCAACCACTGCAGCTAATTGATGCAATATTTACAGAAGAGAGAAATAGTGAGCCTACTGTTGAAGGACACATCATCATACCGACGCGGCGGGATGGCGGGGTGAGCTCCCGCCCCCAACCCGAGGTCCCTGTCGAAGCGCCCACTGCGGGTACCTTTGAAAAAGGCGTTGGGGAAAAGAAATGGGGGGCGGTGATCGAAGCGAGGTGCTGTGCCTGGCCGAGTTGGGAAGGCGGGGCTCCGTCTGATTGGACCCCGTGCCCCGGCGGCTTCGGAGGGGGCGGATTCTTCGGTTGGAGGTGGGGCGGGACACCGCTGAGCGGACCCGAGAGGACCTTGACGGCCGCCGATTCTTTGACACAGGGTTCTTGACGGGTTCTCTTTCCTGTTTATTCATCTGGTTATTTTATGCGTGTCAAGGATGCTAACTGTGGAATAAACTCGGCTTGAAATCATGAGAAAACCCCCACCGCCGAAATCATCTACGGTCACACAGCACTCCCGTCCTTGGCATCCAAATCCCACAAAGACCCTCCCCTCCATCTCGGCTTTGATTCCACCAGGCTGTTGTCGTTCCTGCACGAGGACCCTCGTCTCTTTCCTCGTGCAGCTGACAACGCACCCCCACTCTCTCGTCCTCTCTCTCCAACCACACAAATCCAACGCCGTGATCCCTGAACCACAACATGCAAGAGTTGCGCGTTCCTGCCGTGTCAAGTGCGTGTTGAAAATCCTTCGTTTCTCACCCCGTCACGCCCGTGAAGATCCGGGAACGAGAGGCATATCTAGCGGCTTGGGGTGCGCTTGACCGCTACTCCGAAGTCAAGTTGTATGTACTGTTGGAGGATAGAAGAGGGAAGGCTCGATGATCTTTACGACACGTCTCGTCCCGGATGCAAACATGCCTAAGTGATCGCAGCAAGCTTGGAGACTCCGTGGCTCCCAATACGAAAACCAGGTCCCATCTCTCCATCCGCCGTCGTGGGAGTTCACCCGCAAATCGGGAGCCTCCTCGCCGACCCGCCCCCGCCCCGGGAGATGCGGGACGCCGGTCTGGACGCCCGAGATCGACGGTGCGCCGAGAACCACTACTACCCTCACCGACAGCCGCTTCTGCCGCTTCGCTCTTGCTTCCTAGTCACCGTCATCAATCTATTGTGTTGAAACAGTTTCTTCGTCTCAATCAAATCAGACCAAACAGGTTACTTCTAAAAACGAGAAACTCCGAGCTGGCCCGGAGATACGAATTTCTTGGAAGGATTCTCTCAAATTCTCCCCTCAAACGACCGAGTCCATACCAAAGAAAACTCGCCATGCCCCCCGCCGATGTACCTCGTCTAAAAACACATGTATGTTTCTTTTCGTCACTACACCATTCCCATCAACGAGTCACAATTCCTCCCAAGGATCCTCAGCAAGGATGAATCCTCTCTCCTCCTCGAACTCGATCAAGCTTCGGGACTAGCGGGTATGACGGAAGCATGTAGTGGTTGCGCGACCCTTGATTTCCACGGAGAAATAAAGAAACCTTCTGGGTTCTTGAACATGAGGGCCTCGACACCATCAAACCCAAAACCATCCATCCGTTCAGCAGAAAACCGTTGATTACAACGCATGCCACGCGCGCGCCCGGAAAAGCTCCCCCCTCCCCTCAATCCATTTCCGTTCCAGCAGCCTGAGTCGAAGAACGGTAAAAACGGCCTGTTTCTGGGTTTCGCGTCAAAACGTCAGTTGCGGACTTCAGATGACGGACGGGCACGGGGAGAGGGTGGGAGGGAGGGACGCCGAGATTTCTCCCGCACGTTGCGTGGACCGACTGGACCAGAAAGAACTGAGTCTGTCGGTCCACGTATATGAGCTGGCAAATTCGATTCGAGGTAGTCATGAGGGAAAAAAAGCAACAAGGAAATCTTCGCCGAGGTAGATGGCTGGCTGTTACCGAGTCTAGATATTGATGATCTGCGAAATAAAACCGGTCCTCTCAACGACCTTCGTAGGATCTCGGCGGGTCTCGACGTTTCACAACCCGGCCTCACAGACCGAGGATATCCCCTCCTCAGAAACGAGGAGAACGTCAGCTCAAGCCGGCTTCAAGGATGCCCTCACTTAAAGTTTTTGATAAGACGGATTCAAGCATCACAAGCATTCGCCAAGCCAAAAAGAAGGGAAACAAATTTTCAAGAGCCATCAAGCATCGTTATTTTCATCAGCCACACCATCTAAGTAAAGCAGGATTTATACACAGAATAAAAAAAAGACCCCCGAGTATCCACAGGATATCACTGAAAGGATTGAGTTAAATGATACAATCTGGAGAAACAAAGAAGACTCTGGATCTCTTGTACTGTATCCCCCCTCGACGGGCTGCGTCCATATCGCAGATATGTCCGAAACAAGACCGCGTCGAAAAACGAAAGCAAAAAAGAAAGAAAGCAGGGAGTCTTGTTGTCCTAGCTCCTTAGGGTGCTGTAACTACTCCCCCCGATGCCGGGTTAAAAGAGGTGCGAGCGTTCACCTCTCTCTCTTGATTTAGGCCTGGAAGGAGCGGGCAGCGCGGCGCTTGGCGATGTTGAACTCGATGGCGCGCTTGCGGGCGGTGGCGGACTGGGTGAAGGCGACGGAGCCGCCGAAGGGACCGGCGAGAGCGGCGTTGCGGAGGCGGGCGACGCAGACGTTGCTGGCGCCACCGACGTTGGCGTCGCAGGTCATGCCGGCGGGCATCTTGACGGCGACGGGGAAGTCCATGGTAGAAGCGCCGGAAAGGCCACCGATACCGATACCCGGGACGTTCTGGGTGACCTCGGCGGTCTTGAAGGCGGAGGGGTCGGTGCCGCCGGAGGTGCCGTCGATGTCGGCCTTGAGGGGGCCGGCGCCGTCCTGGTTGACCTGGTGGAAGGTCATCTTGAGGGTGCCGTCGTCGGCGGTGGTGGGCATGCCGCCCTGGGCAGCCATGCCGGTGGCGGCCTTGACACCGGTCTCGGCGGTGCCCTTGGGGGTCTTGGTGCCCTTGCCGGCCTGGCGGGCGACGAGGCTGCGGCGAGCCATGTTGGCCTCGTGGATCTCGCGGGCCTTCTTGACGGCGGTGGTGTTGCCGGCGGCGCCGTTCATGAAGGTCTGGACCATGGCGGCGGCGTCGACGGGACCACCACCCTGGGTGCGGCCGAGAGCGGAGGCTCGGCCGGTGCCGAGCTCGCGATCACGGATGATGGAAGTGTCGGCCTCGGAGCCGCAGCGGGGAGAGGCGCAATCACGGGGAGTACCGTCGATCACTGGATGTCTGTCAGATTTTGATATCGGGAGTGGCAGGCGCGCGACTTACAAGAAAGACCGGGCAGGTTGACGCCGTTGGCACCCTGGACGGAGTCGATGACACCGTGGGCAAAGACGTTGGTGGCAGCGAAAGCCGCGAGGAGGATGGTGGAGGCGTACTTCATCTTGACGGTTGAAAAGATTGGTGAAAGTTGAATATGAAATAAGTTGGCTGATTATTATCTGGAATAGACCGTCGAGGAGCTCCGGGCTCTTGTCGAAAAGAAAGGCAGATGAAGAGAAGGCTGAAGAGTTGATGAGATGCTGATGAGAGAGAGTGAGATCAAGAAGGTTTGACCGGGCATGCGGTTGATTCTTATACAAGTTCTCGACAGACTGGATGACAGGTCTTGGACAGTCTTGGAAGACAGTTGATGGGGCTTGGCAGACACGGGCCTCAGTTCCCAAGGCCAGGGATTCCGGCCGTTGTGGTTGTCCATCTCAGGTGAAGCATCTTGCCGCTGACTATCTCACCAAAAGATCAGTCGAGGCATTGATCTGACGAAAAGACGACATAGGCTGTGTTCTCCAGTGAAGTCGAGCCTTCCAAAGATGCGATTGGCTTGTAGGCCGTTTCGAGGGGCCAGCGGGTCCTGAGCGATGACCAGGGACGAGAAACACCACTAGGAGTGAGCCCGAGTGCAGGTTTTCACGGCAAAGACGGCCAGGACGGGTTTATGCATGACGAGCAGTTGGCGATCTGAGCTCCGATAGGTAGATCTCGAAAATCACGGTTGTGGGGGAGCTACGACGCTTCTCAGGAGTAAGGCTAAACGCCTTCTCCACGGCGGTTTGGGGCTCGGCGTCGATGAGGGTGACGAGGTTGCTGGACAAGGTTTAGCGGCGGGAGCGTTCCTGGGAATAACAAGGGCAATCCCGTCACCGTGAGTGAAAGATTTGAGAACACCACCAGGATGGTGTCGATCCTAAAACGCGAGGCGTGTGAGGTCCTTGGTCTACGGCAGCGAGCTCGGGCCAGCTACGCCGCTGACTGATTCTGCTGAATGGTTGAGACGGGGCAAAACATCGTGGATCTGCGATGCGTCTCCGTTCGAGGCCAGGAGACTCCGGTCAGGTAAGTGGGCGTCGCCCCCGAGGGCTCCATTCACGAGTACGGGAGAGCGGCGAGGACCATGTTCCACCTCGGGCCTTTGGTAAAGGCCCCGTCTCGTTCGACACAGTTCGACTCACCACGGCCGGGCTTACGTTAGAGCCCGACGACATATCAGGTAGAACTTGAGAATCCAACAAGCCTTTGGGGGTCTCCACCGTTTCGGTTTTCGGAAAGAACACGGGAAAGGCTTGAATTGTGGTTCTCTTCCCCATTTCTTTGCAGAAGCCGGTGGTTAGACCACGGCGAAAGCGAAGTCGGTGATGGTCCATGACAAACTTCGAAAAAATGTCATTGGAGAATGCCAATAGCGGTGACATTGCCAGCCGGCCGATGACATGCCTTGGCAGGAACAGCCAAGGCGGGATGAAAGCTCGGCAATGGGATGCCGTCTCGAGTCGAGTTGTGACAAGCTTCGACGAGCAGTTGACAGTGCTTGGCAAAACTCTAGAGCACGAACTCGGATGTCGGAGGAAATACCATGTTTCGTTACCATGCGCACGGTTGTTTCCCTCGTATTGGGTCCTCTCGCAACCTCACGGTTTAGCCGACGAAGAAACCGGCGATGTGGGCGCGGGTTGAGGGGGGATCTGCCGGGTTTTCCACGCGGGCAAGCAAGCATAACCAAATCCGGTTGTCGTCGATCGTCGTCCATGCTTGTTCTGAGGGCTGTGCAGGCCGCATGGCTGCCCTCCGACACACAGGTGAGAAATTTGCAGACTCGATGGGTCGCATTCTGAGTTGTTTAGTTTGTTGACCCCTCACTCCTTGCCTAACCAGCCGCAAGTGTTTGCGCGCTTATTGTCTCATGAATTGTCATATCTGCATTTCGTCGAGAACTTCACGTCGTGTTTTGTAACTAAGCTGGCCCCCGATGACATCGTAAGCTCGGTTTCAGTGCTTAGTTCATGTCGCTCCCCTTTGCTAGTCAGACCGACTTTCGTACGGCAGCAACACGAGAACGAGCATTGCTGGTGTTACGGCAGCTTCGGACGGGACTTCGCCATGAGTTCCCGAGTTGGCTGGCATGGCCAGGGCGTGATTAGAATGATGTGTTCTAGAAGACCTGACGCACGTCATGTCGACCTCGACTTTCTGAGATGTTGCACCAGGAACGAATAATCGTCATCCGTTCAGTCGGCGGACACAAGGGTGGAGTTCCTGCATCCGGCGGAACAACCGCGGAGGGCACAAGGTGAAGTCCCGAGTTACACAGTAAATGCCGCGATAATTGAACGACGACCGATAAGCCCTGCATGACCCGTTGAATTTGCGGATTCTCTTTGACGATACGAGATGATGGTGCGTATCCAGCTGTTATTTTGGCGACCATCTTAATGACGATCCGAGATTTAGCTCGTAAGGTTGCAGCTGCAACGTATTGTCCATATCGTCCGAAGACACCAACTTGTGAGAATGGGACGGACAGGATGTAGTCAACAGACGACCAGCGCCTGCTGAGGTTCACATGCGACGAGCATCTGACGAAAGGTGCATGTCCCTTGGATTCTTCGTATGATTCGCCGTTAAGATTGTCATAGAGGCCACGCGCGTGCTCAAGTGTGGTTTGAGATGAGAATACTCGCCCAGATCCCCATGTGTTATGGCATATAAGTCGAACGCGTTATTGGTGCGTGCGTGCATGACTCGGGATGCAAGCTGAAGAAATCGTGTTGAGGTGTCGATTAGAGTGTGTCTTGACTCTCAGCGCCAAGAGATAGGTTCCTGCCAGTGTCAAAAGTATCTCAAATCGTCTGCCAGCGCTGACATCTGAATCCTACCGAGGGCCGAACCTCTGTCCGATTGAGTTGACGATGTCTTTGGAAGTCGTACCAGACACAAGTGCCCGAAGAACGGTCGACGCTTGCAGGACCCAAGACTTGGTCCGGTTCGCTTGCTTCGGAGACTTGTCGTTACTCAAAAGCTAACAGCAAACCAGGATTCCACATGATATTGGTCGCTGGCCGCTGTCGAGAAGGTGATCCGAGGTTGCAGTGAGGAGAAGACGTGGTGTTGATAAAAGAGGGAAAAGACTTGCCTGAGAGGGCAGGAGGAGAAGACGCCGGCTGCAGAGCTGCAGAGGCTGCAGGTGGGGAAATCAAGCGACCTCAGGCACCGGACCAATGAGACCCAATCGCACCCCTGAGCGACCCTGCGCCTTCAGCGCTGTTGGTGCTGATGACCGCCACCACAACAATGCGTGGATGCCTCTGAGACCGTCATTCGCCAACTTCACCGTTTCACTTACCGACCTTGGCAGCCATCACACCAACGCCATGATTGTTGCAACCAACACATTACCCTGGATTCAGTCTCCTTCTGACAGCTCAAAGTGTGGCGTTCTTGATCCAGATAATCCGGCACTTGGGAGCTGCGGCTAGTTGAGCTAGGAGGCAGCCGTTCGAGCATCGGAACCAACACCTCTCAGACAAAGCTAGCCAAGTTATTTTTGCGACATTTGCAGCTCTTCGAACTTCTATGCTTTCTCTCTGCCCGCAGACGATGACCCTTCGAATCCTTCATGCACGGCCACTTGTCCGCGCCCATCAGGTTTAGGCAAGCTGATGGATGTGGCAAAGCTTCCCGTCTTGACAGGCATGTCATGTCCACGAAGAGTGTAACTCTCCGTCTGAATCCCAACCGCCCAACACCTTCGAGAATAAAGCGTGACCCAATCACCGGACCACGAGCTGTCACATCAACAAGAGAAATCAACACAAACCAGAGACTTACTGTCTTGGGTGCCATCGCTCACATGTTGGACAGTTCCATTCGCAGAACCATTCCAGCTCCTGACTAGACCGGGTCGTCCCAGGATCCGGCCGCCTTCAAGAGCGTTGGCATTGTCCCTTTATGACATCTGATTCGCCAGCTCGTCCGAGATGCTCCTTTTAAGCCACCGCGAACGAGATATGGATGGAGATCCGGAAAAGATGAGGACTACATAACAACAACAGGTCCCTCGTGGCGATAGTCAAAATGTCGTCCTTGTCTTCTCACCGCTCGCTTCTCGTTTTCTCGCAATGCGCGCCGCTCTTTTGCTCTCCGTCCTTGCAGGCACTGCCGCCGCGGCTGGCTGTAATGGCAATGAGTCGCTATGTGGGAAGAAGTACTCGGAGGTGACATTCGTTGGTTCTCACAACAGCCCGTTCGTCGGCATTGGTCCTGCCCATAACCAGCTGGTCTCGCCAACGGAACAGCTCGACTTGGGAGTCCGCTTCCTGCAAGCCCAGACCCAGAACAAGGACGGCAACATTGAAATGTGCCACACCGACTGCATCCTGCTTGATGTCGGACCGTTGACCGAGTATCTCGACTCCATTACGAAATGGATGAACGCTCACCCGAACGAGGTCGTCACCCTGCTCCTGACCAATATCGACGCCATGCCGGTGACGCAATTTGACGAGGCCTTCAAAAGCACCGGGCTGGACAAGTACGTGTTCAGGCCGCAGGGCAAAATATCGGAGTGGCCGACGTTGCAGAAACTCATCGATGATGGAACGAGACTGATCGTCTTCATGGGTAAGATAAAACTGTGAGATAACAGCAGGAACTAGGGGACTGACACGGGCAGACTATCATTCCGATACGAGCAAGGTGAACTACATCCTCGATGAGTTCCAGTATTTCTGGGAGACGCCCTACGGTGAGACGGACGCCAGCTTTCCCCGTTGCAATATCGACAGGCCAGAAGGCGTCGACCCTGAAGGATACATGTATCTGGTGAACCACGTCTTGAGCATCGATATCTTCGGTGTCAAGATTCCAGATCTGGCCAACTCATGGAAAACGAATTCTCTCGAGTCCATCGACAAACAAGTCAACCTCTGTAGGGGGATGTGGGGAAAGACACCGAATGTGATTCTGGTAAGTCGGGCAACTCTTTGAATACCGAGCTGGCCATGTCAGATTGTGGTATCTGCTCGTTGCAAGTGGTCAGGGTTGCTAACTACGTGTTAAAATAAGCTTGACTGGATAAACGTTGGCGACGCCGTAAAGGCGCAGACCCAGTACAACGTCTAGAAGTAATCAGCTTCCAAGCATGGAATGCAGCTCTCAGCTTTGCCAACGCGGCAATTGAGACAGGATGTCACAAAAATAGCGTCAGGGCATCGGGAGAGGCAATTAAACGATTTGAGGCAACGTAAGACAGCCTCGCAAACAGACAGCATGGGGAGGCGTGTTTGCTTCACTCCAATGGACATACAACTGCGCCGCTGAAAGCCCGGTTTCCTACAAATAAATCGCGCGCGTGCAAGATGCGAGGGTCGGTCTGGCAGGGCGGACGAGAGAGCACGTTGTCGCGAGGAGAGATGTGAGGGGTCCTTTCCGGGTGGCTTTTCCTAGGTGTAAGCAAAGCCACTTTCGGTGTCCCAAAATGGGCAAGGGAGCTTCGGGCGACGGCGGCCTGCGACTCCCATCCATTTTCGGCACCGATCTTGAAATAATATCGATTGCAGCCTACCTCTTGCGGCTGCTGTCAATTCTCACTTTCGCATCTGCCTTTCTTTTTCGATCTCCAAGCTGTCTTGTCGCGTGTCCACGCCATCAACGATAAATATCTAGCTATGGCTCCAGTTCACTACCGGCTCGTCTGAGTCTCGACACTATTCCGTCAACAACATCATCGCGCCCTGGCTCCTCCAATTTATTGCATTTTTTCATTTCTTGCCTGGAATGAGCATCTGCTTCCACCGCCATGGAGAAAGACGGAGCATGGCTAGCTGACGGCGAGTACCGCGAATTCGTCCGCTCACTTTCCTGGTCAGACCCGCGTCTCAGGCAGCGGGATCCCAAGGCCACCACCCAGCGCATCGCCTTCACAGACGACAACGTCAAAGTCGTCAAGCTCAGTCTCCAGAACGGCAAGTTCACCAGGAAGGCAGAGTTCAACGAGCCCGCGCTCTTGGAAGCCCACTTCCGCAGCACGGCATCCCAGCGCGGCCGCCAAAATGTCTACATCGTCGAAGGACTCGGCCCCGGATTCGCCAGTGTTATAGGTGATCATTTCAACCTGCACCCCTCCTTCTTCGTGGAGCACGAACGCGTTGTTGTGCACAACATGAATTGGATGGGTGAGAGCGACGGCATACAGTTGCCGTCTGTCATTCAAAGTCGGGGGCACTTGGAGATGAAATACTACGAGGTCGTGACGTTCGACAGGAAACCGACCAGTTTCCGCTGGGTGTGCGCCGCTACTGGGCGTCATATCGGCGTCTCCAGAGACTTCAAATGGGACAACGCACCTGACGAGATTGACAACTTCTTGGATGTGGGCGTTGTCCGGAGGAAATGCGGCGTCTGGTCCTGGAGGACCGAAGGCGGCGGATGGGATTGTGAGTTCGATCCTCTCCTCGCTAATTGCTGATGCTAACGAACACAAGGTCTCGTGCTCTGCGATCCCCCGGTCAGGAGCGTCCGAACGGGACCTAGCTATAATGAAGAACATCCCGTCAAGACGTGGCCCTACCAAGGCGGCTACCTCGACTTTGTCCCCGAGGAGGAGCAGATCCGCGTTGCCAGAGAAGGCTTCTACCGCGGCCCGCCGCGGATCTCCATGCTGGAAGACCTCTCCTTCTACCTCGAGACGCACTCGCGCCTGGTGGACATCGCGGAGCCCGACTCGGTCAGCGTCTTCGTCAAGAAGCTCGTGGCCTCCCACTTCCTCAAGCAGACGGAACACCTGCGCGCGACCCTCTCGGCGGTCCAGCGCGGCCTCACCCGAAAGCAGGACCTGGCCAAGATGCCCATGGAAAAGGTCGAGGCCTTGTGGAGCGACATGCAGGGCTGGGAACGGCGGACGGGCGAGTACCTCGAGGATCTCGAAGGCATTATGCTTCAGCTCGGAGTCCCCCTCTCTCACCCCGTGGGTCCGATCGTTGCAACGCCGCCGCCGTTGATGAGGGGCGCCGTGTCGCCAGCAAGTCTCGCGTGGCAAGACTGCGCGGCCGATTTCCAGTTTCTGTATCTGCGGTTCCGGGAGCTGCGGCACCGCACGGAGACGCTCAATGCCGCGGTGACGGGGCTGGCGAGCATTACGGGGAACCGGCAGGCGTACAAGGAACAGCAGCGAAGCATCGGAGAGGCCAAGAGGGTCAAGGCCATCACCTTGCTTGGTCTGGTATTCATACCGCTGGCATTCACAACGTCGCTGTTCGGTATGGAACAGCCGTTTGGGCCTGGGCACGACCTGTTTTGGGTATTCTTGGCGACGTCGTTTCCTCTCATTCTGTTCGTCTTGGTGGGATACTACGTCTTGGATTTCGGATACAATGATGAGGGGAGAGCGTGGTCATTAGAGAACTTTAATAAGTCCATGAGGGAAAGGCTAGACCGGCTTAAAAGACAGGAAACGGCGACGGAGGATGTCCTTCGAGAGATGAAGGCATGAGATGGATAAACAAAAACCAGTATGAACAGAGCTGAATGAATGAAGCAGCGAAGTGTCGTCATCCGTGCTGAAGGTTCAATATTTCCAGTGACCAAAGAGCTGAGCCGATAAGAGCTACAGTGTGGGTCCTTCGCCAACTCAGCACTGCTTATCGGCGTGTTTAGTGGCGGCGCGCTCGCGATAAGCTCCCGCCCCGCAATTAACACCAACACGTCAGGTCGCGTCCCCCCAGACGCGTCTAAGAGCTCTTACACCCAGGCTTAATTGACACCGCTCCACCATCACTCTACCTCCACCACAACACTCAACTTTTGATACCAACATTGGTACCTTTGCAAAGTACATTGGACAACTTCATTTTAGTGTTTTCGTGTTTCGATACCCATATTGTTTCTCACTCATCCTAATCACATTCCACAATGGCTTCAGAAGAGCCATCGGTGCGCTCGCCCAGCGCGAGCCCCGCGCCAGAGTCGCTACAGGCGCGTATCGCCGCCCGTTTGGCCGCCATTGACACCGAATCCGAAGACGACGAGCCCAAGACGACCAGCAGCAAGGGCAAGAAGTCACCCAGACCCACGCAAGACAGTGACTCGGAAGAAGAAATCGTCAGGCGACCCAGAGGCCGTCTTGCTGCCCAGATGCAGGCTGGTGGCCAAAGATCGGACTCTGAAGAGCCCGAGAGCTTTCTCGACCGTATCCAAAAACGACTCGAAGCCACAGAAGAGGCAGACGACAATGACGCGGAGGATACAGTCATGGGAGAGGCTGAAGACGAAGACGATATCCCCGTAGCGCGTCGACGGCTGCAGAAGAAGCCCGCGAGAGAGACCACACCGAAACCTCAAAGCCCGGCACGATCCCCCACACCAGGTCTCTTCGTGTCTCCTGAGAAGCAATCGCCAACGAAGCTAAGCAACGAGACGACGGCCAACGACTCCGATTCTGACGCGTCTCTCCCCGCTCTCAAGAACTCCAGATTCCAGGCCTTGGTCGAGCGCAAGAGGCAGGAAAGATTAGCACGTGAGGCCGAGGAAGAGAAGAAGAAGGCTGAGCGCATGGAACGCCAGGTTGCTGTGAACGCCGACCTCTTCGATGACGAGGACGACGCCAATGTCTCCGACATCACTGACGACGAAGGAGGCCGCAAGCTTAGCCAGGCAGCGAGGCCGGCCAGGAAGGCTGGCAAGAAGGCCATTGAGGAGATGAACCGCGAAACACAGCGCATGGCTCGTAACATGCAGCTCGCCCACGAGGCAAAGACGAGGAAGAAGTTCACTAAAGCGGACTTCTTGGACCGGTTCAACTTTAGAAAGACCGAGGCGAAATTGGACCCCAAAACGACCAGCTCAAGCAGGCCTACTACACCAGTATCAGCACCCCAGACCGATGCCGAGATGAAGGATTCCGAGACCCCGCCTAGCTCTCCCCCAGTTCCCAAGGCTTCGACGCCAAGCAAAGAACAAGAGGCTACCACGACAGCGGCCCACGCCGCGGATACCGTTGATGACAACGAGGAACTGCCTTCGCTCGACGGCGTTTTTGAGAACTCTAAGAAGCTCGACAAGGGTAAGGGTAAGGCCGTTGCCGTACCCAGTCCCAAGAAGTCACCTGCGAAGGAGACGAAGCCCAAGCGTCAAGTCCGCATCAAAATGCCCTCTATTTCAGCATACCACACAGTCATCGATCTGGACGATGACCTTGAGATCACGGATATCAGAAAGGCCAAGCTTGCCGCGGTTTTCAACAGCATTCCCCAAAAGAAGTCCAGGGAGAGTAACTCCTTGCACGCCCTCCGCCGTCTGGCGCAAGTGGGATCTCCCGAGAGGTCAAGAAAGGGACGGCATGAGAAGCCCGGCATGACTGTCGGCGAACTGCAGCTCACCCTCCAGCAGCGCGCCCGACAGCAAGCTAAGCTGGAGCGCGAGAAACGCCTCGAGTACCTGAAGTCCAAGGGCGTTGTCGTCCAGACCGCAGAAGAGCGCGAGCGCGAGATGCAGGATGTCGAGGACATTGTTGCCAGAGCCAGGAGAGAGGCCGAGGAGATTATGGCCCGTGAAAGGGACGCAGCCAAGCAGGAGAAGAAGGAAAAGCGAAAGAACGGCGAGCTGGATCCCTTTGACGACAGCGATGATGAAGAGTACGAAGGCTCCGACGAAGAAGTAGGAGATGATGTTGAGTTGGAACTTTCTGGCTCAGAAGAAGAGGCAGAGGATGCTTCTGACAACGAGGCCGAGGGCAATGCTCTCGTTGACGATGAGGCCGGCAACAGCGGATCTGAGCACTCGGATGTTGAAGCCGACGACATCACTGGAAAGGTCGACCTCGCCGATTCTGAAGATGAGATGGGCCTGCCCACAAAGAACGTTCGCCGCTCCAAGAAGACCCAAGTCATTTCTGACGACGAAGACGAGAACGACGTGATTGAGGCTACGCCGAGACCACGAACTGCAACCCAGCAATCACCCGCGGCGCCAAACACCAAGTCACCTGCCGTGCCTACTTCCGTCCTCCGATCTGCGAAGAAAACCTTCATTCCTGGACTTCCTGTCACTGGCGCGGCGGGACTTGGCTTGACCCAGATTTTCGCTGGCACCATGGACGACAGCCAAGCCGCCCCTGGAACCATCCCCTCTCAGTCGCCAATGCCCGATTTCGACAGCCTTCCGGACTCGCTCACCATCGGCAACAACACTCAGCAGGACAGCATGATTCTTGATAGCCAGGGTGGCGATGGCGGCACGCAGAGGTTTGAGACGCAACAGGACTCCGCAGATGGTGTTCATCTTCACTTCACGCAGTCCCAAGCCCATGGCTTTGACAGTCTCATGCGTGACGACGAGCCCGCAACTCAGATCTCCATGGATGCCACACAAGACGAGGGATTGCAAGACTACACGCCCCTGAGATCACGATTCGTCGAAGCGCCTGCTTCGACTGTCGAGACCATGGTGCTTGATGGAGAGGCGGAACACGACACAGTGCTTGAGTCCCCTCTGGTGCGCAGGGGCAGACTTCGCCGCAAGATTGATGTGACTGCCGCGCTTGCCGAAGAGGAGGAGGAGGAGACTCAAAGAGCCCCTAGCCCTGAGGTTGATGAGTTCGGCTTCAACACCACTACCGCCTTCAACGTCATGAAGGAGGCCATCAAGAAGCAAGAGAAGCAGAAGAAATTGGCCGAGTACAACCGCAAGAAGAGCAAGGCCAAGGAGATGGTGGAGGAACAGGCCGAGGAATCCGAAGACGAGTACGCCGGTCTTGGCGGTCTAGACGGCGAAGACAGCGACGATGATGACGCTGCCTCCGTCAAGGAGATGATTGACGACCAGAGCGGCATGAACGCCGGCGACGAGCGTAAGATCGCTGCTCTTCACGCGTAAGTCCACCAACCACTCATTTAACACAGCTAAAGCTAATGTACTCCAGCGAACGCGAACGCGCGGCCGACGAGAAGATGGTCGACAAGCTCTTCCACGACGTCACAACCGGCATGCTTCGCCGCAAGCGTGGAGCCGACTATGACCTCTCCGACTCAGACGACGGCGGCGAAGCTCGTCGCCGCATGAAGCGTCGCCAGTTCCAAAAGATGCAACAAGCTCTTTTCGCAGACGAACGCATCAAGAAAATCGCCGAGAAGCCCGGCAACCAGGCCTTCCTTCGCACCATCGAGGACCGAGGCAGCGACGACGAAATGGACTTCCTCCATATCGCTGCGCCGGAGTCCATGCAGACCGAGCAGTCTCAGTCGCAGGACCAGACAGTCCCGGACAGCCAGCCCACAGACCAACGGCAACCTCTGGGGTCCAACCTCGCGAACCGCCCAGCAGCGAACCTGCGCAGGACGAAAGACGGCAAGAAGCCATCCAACCTGGGCGAGATCCGTGAGTCCGTGTCGAGTCTATTGGAGGACTTCAACGTCGACGTCATCCCCGCTACCGACCCGGCCTCGGACAGCGAAGCAGACGAAGAGGGAACCTCGAGGAGCAACAAGGAGGACGACTCCCCGGGCAGGAACCCACGCCGCACAAACTCCTCCTCCCGCCCAGCCGTCGTCGATCGTATCTCCCTCAAGAGGCAATCGTCCTCCATGTCCACCTCGTCCTCCAAGCTCGCCTTCGCCATGCCCGGCGGCGGCGCCAGCGCGTCCTCGAGCGGGAGCTTCAAGGTCCCCGCCCTTCTCCGCCGCGCCACGACCAACTCGTCGTCGTTCAACAAGTCCGGCTCGGGCGGCGCCGGCGGCAGCAACGCCTCCGCCGGAACGCCATTCTCCGCTTCGGGCGGCGGGTCAAGCGGGTTCGGGGACGACGGCAAGATCAAGAAGAACGCCAGCAAGAGGTCCGGCGTCAGCGCCCTCGCGAGGGAGAACGAGCGCCGGGCGGCGATCCAGGAGAACGAGAAGAGGAGAGAGGCGAGGAAGTGGAAGGGCGCCGAGAGGAGAATCAGCGCTGTTGGTGGGTTGTTTGGCGCTGGAAAGTTCGAGTAAGGGGTTTTAGGTAAAAATCGAGGTAGGATATGTCGTGATGAATATGGGTTTGGGATCGGAGTTTGGGTGGCTGGGTCTGGATGCTCAAATGTCGGCGTATGGAAATAAGGATGGGGCACTGCATCAATTCGAGTTTATCCGCATTTTGAACAGTAATCATGAAATCACTTGTGAATCATCGAACTTTGTGAAACTGGGCGCCATGAACAAGTCTCTTCTCTCGACACCTAATCTCTATATCCGTACATCCGCTGCCATCTGCCGTACTGGATCGTGTGTGTGTATTTGTGCTTCACGTAAAATATCTTTTGCTTTTCTCCTCTGCATCCTCCCTACGTCTCTTCTTCCCATTTCTTCATCGCAACGCATCTATTTCTTCTTCTGGCCGGCGACGACGGTGATCTCCTTGGGGAGCTCGGCGACGTAGGGCAGGAACTCGGGCTGGCCGGGGATGTACTTGCGGAGGACCTCGGGGACCTTGAAGCCGTCGGGGGTCTGGTAGTTCTCCATGATGCAGCAGAGGGTGCGCTCGGTGGCGCAGAGGGTGGCGTTGAGGGCGTGGACGTACTCCTTGCGTCCGCCGCCGGGGGCCTCCTTGGCCTTCTTGACGCCGAAGCGGACCTCGAGCTCACGGGTCTGGTAGTCCGTGCCTTGACATGTTTCGTTAGATTACGATCCCATCTCGTAGAGCGCCGAAGAAAAAGAAGAAGAAGAAGGGGTGGGGAAACTCACAGTTGGAGCAGGAGACGAGCTCCTTGTACTCCTCCTGGAAGGGGAACCAGGCCTCCAGGTCGTACTTCTTGGCGGCGGCGTTGTTGAGGGCGCCGGAGACGATGGAGACGACGCGGTAGGGCAGGCCGAGGCTCTTGTAGAACTCCTCGGAGGCGGCGATCATCTCGTCAAAGTGCTTCCAGCTGTCCTCGGGCTTGCAGAAGACGAACTGCTCAATCTTCTCGAACTGGTGGACGCGGAACAGACCCCAGGCCTCCTTGCCGCTGTTGGTGTTGTTCTCTCGTCAGTATACCGGCTCAGGATCTCGTTCCCCGCTGGAATGAGAAAGGAGGTAAGAACGTACTGCTTGCCGGCCTCCTTGCGGAAGCACGTGCTGTAGCCTGCGTACTTGATGGGGAGCTGGCTGCCCTGGATCCACTCCTCGCTGTGCAGGGCGGAGAGAGGCTGCTCGGAGGTGGCGATGAGGTACTTCTCCTCGCCGTCGCCGGTGACCTTGTACCTAGAACCAGTTGTCAGGAGGGGGATGTCCGTAGAGAAGTATGCTGCGGTGCGTCTTACAGCTCCTCGTCGAATTGCTCGAGCTGAGCGGTCTTGGCCATCTGGTTGCGGTTCATGAAGAAAGGGGGCTGGTTGGGGGTGTAGCCCTTGTTGAAGAGGAACTCGAGACCATAGTTGATCAGAGCCTGGTTCCTGCGCGCGTCCGTCAGCACATCTCATGCCTTGCCACCCCGAATCCCAGCACAAAAGACCTACAGGAACAATCCGTAACCAGTCAAGCAGTATCCTCTGTGGCCGACGAGCTTGATGGCCCTCTCGGAGTCGTAGCCCGCCAGGCGGGTGACGATCTGGTGGTGGGAGAGCGTCTGCTCCGTCTTGGGGGCGAGGCCGGCCTCGGGCTTCCACTCGCGGACCGTCTCGTTGTTGTCCTCGTTGTCGCTGACGGGGACGGACTCGTGGACGTAGTTGCCGATGCTCTTGGCCTTGGAGTTGAGGGTGACGAGCTTGGCGGCGGCCTCGTCCTCCTTCTCCTTCTTCTGCTTCGTCAACTCCTCCTTCTTCTTGAGCAGGTCGTCGGCGTTCTCCTTGTTCTTCTTCTTCATGCCAATCTCCTTTTGCGTCGCGTTGATGTCGCTGCCGATCTGCGTCGCGGCGTACTGGGTCTTGCGGTGGTCTGTTCACGGACGACGCGCGAGAGGCGCAAAAGGTTAGCCCATTGTATCTTCTCGTTCCGCCTCTTCGCCCGCCACCAATGTTTCTTGCGAAGCTCTCCTCCAGGCAGTAGGGTTTCCGGGGACTCGTACCATCCCACAGGGCAATGACCTCGTCGACAACCTCGACGGGCGCGTGGCGACGGCGCTGGGACTCGCGGATCTTCTCCGGGTCGCCGCCGCGCTCCTTGATGAAATCTTGAAGGTCGAGCATGATGTCTGGTTTTCGGTGGGTATCGAGGGGAGATCGGCAGGGCGGGGCTGCGAGGAGGATCAGTACGTTAATAAGATAAACCGGCGACGGCAGCGCATCAATCCGATCGGTTACTCACTCGTTCCTGGAGGCTGAGCGACGGGCGTGCAGCGTTCGGCGTGACTATTCGACGGTGACTCAAGAACAACTTGGCTGGTGGTAAATTGTCGTTGCTGTGGTGGGGTTATTTGGCGGGGGCGGGGCTGAGGCGGTCAAAAGCCAGGGTCCCGTCTCTCTTCCCCTTACAGGCGCATATCAGTTAGTATCACGCCTACATGCGACAAACGCTGAATGCATCCCACATGAAGTGCAATTGAGGCCTAGTCGAATGAAATGCCGCCCATCGCGAAGCGCATATGCCCCTTCCCGCCTTCCAAGTTAACTATTGTACAATTCTGACCTGAACCCATAGAAAAGCTGCGACCAAAGCCATATTTCCCATTTCTCGCCGCATAAAAACACAATCGCCCAAAGTGGTTTAAGCCTCTGCAGTCGGCTCTTCAACCTTGGCCTTCTTCGACGACTCGTCCTCTGCAGGCTCCTCGGCCTTCCGCTTGGTCCCGTTCTCGCCATTGGCCTGGGGCTCGGCGGGCTTCGGCTCTTCCTTGTTCTTCTTCCTGACCAGACTGGTAAGGTCGGTAGCAGTTTTCTTGGCTTCCTCGATACGAGCCTGGGTCTGCTCTGCCGACTCACCGAGGGCGGCGCCAAGGATACCTCCCATGGCTTCACCACCAAGAGCGGCGTTGATGTCGATAGGAGGCTTGCGGAGCTCCTCAAGCTGCTTACAGTCAGTTACACCATCCACAATAGCGGATCCAAAGACTTACCCGTTGCTCCATATCAGCAATCATGTCTTTGACGTCGGTAATGGTTGCTCGCGTGACCTCGTTGTCCTCTGGCGATGCCATAGTAGCTAACTCAACCTCCTTGTTCTGTAGCTTCGCCTTCGTGCTGTTGATGGCAGCCTCCAGTTCGTTGGCGGCCTCCTCGCGCAGCTTCTCATCGAATGCCTGCTTCTCGGCATTCTCGCCCGCCTCCGCAGTGACAGAGGCGAACTCCAGGGCTAGAGACAGCTTGAAGTGAGCCTCGGCAATGATCTCGTTATCGTTGGTGTACAGCTCCTTCTTGAACTTCAATGACTTCCGTGAATCCTCAATCGCATCGGGGTATCTGTCGCCGAGTTAGACTCGAATCTGGTTCTAGCGGGCTCAAAGACGATGTTACCTCTCGTTCTCCAAGGAGATCTCAGCAAGGAGATCATAGATATCGGCAAGGCGTTCCTTAATGTGCCTGAGGGTGCTCTTGTCGGCATTGATCTGCTCCTCAGCCTTGCCATTGGGCTCCTCCTTCTCCAATCGCTCGAGCTGGAGTCGGAAGCCGCGGGCGGCAAGGTCCAGGATATGAAACGCGTTGGCGAGATCATCGTCTTCTTCATCTTCCGCATCGCCTTCGCCCTCGTCCTTGGACACAGTCAGCTCTCGTTCGGTGGGCTGACTGATGTTCGCTTACCTCTTCCTCATCCGACTCGTCGAAGTTCTCGTCGCCAGTGAACTGGAAGAGGGGCTTCTTCTCCTCGACAGTCTCCTCCGTCTTCGCGCCGGCCGTTTCGCTAGCGACAATCGCGATGCCCTCCTCGGTTATCCTATTCGCCTCGGTCTCGGCAGGCGCATCGGCCGTCGCAGCGGGAACTGGTGCAGCCGGGGCAGCCTTCTTGGCTTTGGGTGTCGGCTTCTCGACCTTTTTCTCGCTGCTGCTCTTGCCTCCCAGTACGTCGCTCTTGCTCTGACCGATCTTGAAAATGCTGCGACCGTAGAGGAACAGGATTTCAGCATTCTGGGGGTTCAGGTCGCCATTGATCTCGCTTTGAAGCTCCGCCGCCTTCGTAAAGCAGTCGGCCGCCTCTTCGTATTGCTTCTTGGCGTAGAGCGCAGTGCCCTTGGCAGTCCAATCCGCAAGGGTCACCTTCTTAGAGTTGATGTCCTCTTCTGACTCCTCGCCGCCTGTGGTGGCGGGCGTGTCCTGCTGGACAGGCGCATCTGGCTTGGCAATCGGGTCTGCGACGGCAACGGGCGCCTCTGGGGCTGGAGCTTCGGCGACAGGGACCTCGGCGGCAGTCATGGGCTGCTCAGTGGTGTCAGCCATCGTGATGAACAATTCCGTGTATGCGCCTGTGTAAATCGGTTGGGTTCGGGAAACAGTTCGATTGATGGGTTGAAGAGCAAAATCTCTTACGAAGGGTGGATGGAGGAAGAAAAGAAGATTATGTGACGGGAAGAAAGCTCAGGCAGGCGGCTTTGTCCGTGGTACGACGCGCGCAAGCTTGCGAGGAAGGCGCGTTGATTGGGGAACGGACTGCAGGGATAGCTTCTTTCCCGGCACGTCAAGTGGACAAGACCCAATTAGAGATGCGGGTGCGCGGTGCAATCGCTTCACTGTGCTATGCACTGTATTAAATCCCATCAATTTTGGGAAGGACCACCTCAGTTAGCAGCAGGGTGCTACTGCTGCTACCACTGCTGCTACCACTGCTGCTAGGTCCCCTTTAGAGTGATTACACCGTTGACTAAGGTAGGTAGGTAAGTACCTAAGGTAGGTAGGTAGGTAGGTTTGACATTGATCCCGGACGCCTCAATTCCACTTCTTTCCTTCCTCTTTCGTCATGGAAGTCTTACAGCTTGAGCCTGCAAAATGGCCAATTACGGACCTATAGCTGCATATTCGCCGAAGGCGTGCGGCCGGGCTGCCCTCTGAGATGCGCCGATGAACCCTTGAAAAGACTCTGCCAAATGAACGCTTCGCTCAACAGCAGTTCAATGTCCTTTTCAGTCCATGACTTTGTCGGCAAGCTCTGCAAAAACATCATTATCTCCTGGAAGTCCATCTTGATCAACTTGTCCGACCACTTGACTAGGAAGGCCGCGCAGACGTAGAGATGGAACTCCGAGAAACCCTGCTCCTCCGCCTACGTGCTGTTAGCTTGATCAACCATGGCAAGCTATCCTGTGTGACGACTTACCAAATATGTGTCCCACATTCTGATCGTATTCCGTACACTGATCTCTCTCATCAAGAGGCAGTTCATCCATCGAAAACTGAATTGGATGAATTCAACATGCTCATTTTCGAGATGCTTTGCCAAGCTCGCATCGATTCGCGCCGTTAGGTCGCGAAGAGCTGTGACTTGCCTCTGAATACCCGGCTGCGCTACGATGTAATGGTCTTGAATGCCATCGAGGAGTTTCGTGAGGCACCAGAACGAGTCCGCCTCCACCGCGTCAAGAACAGACTTCGGCAGTTGGCCCGGATCCATACCGGATTCTATGTCCGAGTCGGCGACATAAACGCTCAGGAACACCTGCCAGAATGGCGTCACAAGGTCATTGATGCCCTGTACGTAGCCACTGGCTGGATGCCGGACGGCCCAAAGATACAAGATGCGCTCCAAAGAACGCTGAGTCGCCTCGTATGAGTAAAGCTCGATATGAGGGTTCGTCCGCGGAACATCGATGCTGATCTGATGCCAGATTGCCTCGTCCAGTCCTCTTGCCTTGCCTGTCGGCGCGGTGCTGGAGCCGCCCCGTTCAAAGGCCTGTCGCACACCATCTAGGTACTCTTTTCGTTTCCTTTCCAGGGTCGTGACTCTTCTTTCGCTATTAGTCGGCAAGTAACTTAGTAGAAGTTGCCATGTCATGGCGCGGACCTCCTGAGGCACGCCGGACCAAGCCAGTTGTCGAAGATCCTGCAGAGGTATTGTTGATGCCTGCAGAAGCTTCTTGAATTTGTTGATCCGGGTTATCCTAGAATTGGCTGCGTCAACCTCTTTGGGCGTCGCATTTGCGGGGACGGCGGGGTGGTCGATCAAGTGTAGCGCGTTTGCAGGATCTGTCGCGGTCAGCGCAGCACAACCTTCAACGGTATCGTTGCCTACCTCTCAATATTTCTTTGTATTGGGGTCTTAAAATCTTCCCCTCGCTTTTCTTAGGCATGGGGTAGGTCGGCGCGGGTCTCTCAATGGCGATATCCGCACTGTTTGAGTATCTTCTCGTGTGAAGTCCGAGTCCAAAGGAGTCGCCCATTGGCGACAGACCTCCGTTCGAATCGGTCTTATTCTGCGCCGCCATTTTTCGCGTCCGCCTCTTCATGTTGGACAGACTAGGCAGGCCGAAGTCGTCGCCATCATCATCCTCATAACCCATCATATCGTCCTCGTCCGCCTTCCAGTCGTCGTTTGTGTTGGACAGGAAGTTTATGTAGCTCTTGATCGGCGGCGAGGACAGTCCCGACGCGGGCCTCGAAGTTGGTGGAGAGGCATCGCTAGGTCGGCCCTTCGCCGAGTGCGAAGACGGGGGAGTTTTCGGTCTCGAGGAGGAATTCGACAGGTTTCTGGGCGCCAATTAGCATGTAGTCCTTCGCCGGGCGCAGAGAAGGGCGGCGCACAAAGAATCAAATTTCAGAATGTCAGCATGAGAGTATGCGGCTCCAACAACCAGGCTGGAGTCGCGACCTGTCCTTTTCGGCGTGTTCTCGCGTGGGGGCGGCGGTTTCCAAAACGGTGATGCAGAACTACCCCAAGTCAGTTCTGGCACCTTGTCTGCAAGGCTGAGCATCCAACGTACTCTGAGCGATCTACGTTGACACGAAAAGTCAGGTCAGTCAAAGTTTCCAAAAGGCATTGTTTGGCGCCCGAGTCTCTGCGGCAACGGGCACCTCGAGATGCAAGAGGTATGACGAAACCCACCGACTTGAACCATCTCCTGCTGCGGGGCAACTTAGCATGCGATGTCGGCTTCATGCAAGGGAGGGGATTTAGAGCGTACCTGTTGCGCGGGCTTCTTTCCACTCCCTGAAGAGGAGAACATTGTGTCGCTTCTCTATTGAGAGAGAGTCATCGTGTGTCTTGTTGTTGAGATGCGCCAGAACGAGTCGCCTGAGCTCCGAGCAAGTGACCAGTGGCCGGACCCTTGCTTCACATTAGTGTACTGGCCGCCGCTTGGAGCAGCAGTTGAAGTGGAGTAGAGGAGGTCACTGTGGCTTCGGCCGCTGGGTTGTGGCGGTGTGATCAATGTTTCCGGCGCTTGAGGAACCTCACTTCCATGGTTTCAATCATCCTGGGTAGAGCAAGACAAACGAAACTAAGACTTGACAATGCTAGCACTCTTTCTATTTAGATTCTATGTGTACCTACTTTCTATCCACATTATTCGATAACTTTGGAATAAAAGGTTTTGCTATCTTTCCTAGCTAGAATTATTCACCCATACCTCATTTGAAAAAGAATGGATCATTCTTTGAACCAAATATGGAATTGACGCTGTTATACATGCTCAGACTTGAATCGATTACTTGCTACTTATTCAAGATAACTTTGTTCTTCTTGTTGTGAGAGTTGTTGTGATCCCATCAGAGTCGCAAACGTTTGGATCTAAGACCCGAGTACCAACAAAGATTGCTCCCTGGTCACGTGGGCAGCCAAGTCGCTCCTTCTGTGGCTTGAGGCCTGGGCTGCTAAGGTTAGCGCATTGCTTGGGCTCATTCCCCAGCCTTTGTAGCTCTGATTGGATTGAGAGTCCCTATTGGCTCCGCTCGCCCTTTCAGCTCCACCTTCTGTCCTCTTCCACCTCTCGAGGTGCACGTCCTGCCTAAGAAATATCCAAACAACCGCGCAACCATTGCGACACAACCACGACGTCTCTCTTCCATCTCCGTTCAGTGGCACGTTCATTAACCCATCCAGCCCCCTTCTTTTTCCTTCACAGGCTGCAAAGATACACCTACTGTTGAAATCCGCCCATCTTACATCATCAGTAGCTTTTCCGACCGCCAACAAGATGACTGAGCCTGAGAATTTTGAGGAGGATCTTTTCGCCGACCTGTGAGTGACCCAATGAGGCGCTCGCGACTTCCATCAAACTGGATACTGATATCGCGGCAGTTACGATGACGATACTCCGTCAAAGCCAGCCGCCGCTCAGGAGCCAGCTGCAGCTCCTGCTCCCGCCCCTGCACCTGCACCCGTCGAAGCCCCCGTCCAGACGATCGAGACACACTCAGAGCTGCAGCCTTCAGCAGAGCAGGATCACAGCATCGATGACCAGATGAAGTACGAAGAGGATGACGACGATGATGAGGTGGACTTCAATCTCGGCGGCGGCAGCAGTGGTGGCGGCATGGCCTCCCACGCGCCTCCCTCAAATGGAATGGGCGCAGTCAAACATGAGGAGCCGACGTACTCCACAAGCACGGCCAAGAATCCTAGTGCCAAGGAAGACGGGTAAGTGATGTTTGCGCCCCCTGCATGAACTTCGTTCTTTTCTACACCAACACGGCACGGCATCCGAAGTGGACTTGCCTGCCCCGAATCAATTAACCAGCAGCTGCCGGCTGTGGTTTGATGGAACTTGGGCGTCAGTGGCCCCATGGAATCTCGAGTCGGACCGAAATTGGTCTCTGGGGCTTGGAAGGAGAAAGAGAGGGCAACGCCAGAAGACGTCGGTCAATCACGTCTATGGATCAGACTTCAGGGTCAATCAAGCAAGCCGAGGAAGAAGACCAAGACTCAAAACAAGAGAGCCACATGCCAGAAAGAGAAGCCAGAAAGAGGTGCCACAAAGTCAGCTGGAAAAGCAGCCTGAGATCACCGAGATAAGCCGCCGATAGTCAGTCACTCAGTCAATCAGTCAGTCAGATGAGGAGTACCCACGTGCTCCTTCTATAGCCCAGTCGCAGATGGTCTTTAAAGCACGACGAGGACCGTCAGCGTTCTTCGGCTGCTGTAGCAAGATTAGCAGCGGATAGCGCTCGAGGCTAGAATCTAGCAGAGACTTGACGATAGCAAAAGACACCAAACATTCGACAATGACCAGGCTATCAGCTCCTCAATTCTCGCAGATGTGAGAGACTTCCCGTGGCTGGCTGGCGTCACTCCAACGACAATTACACTCTGTTTTCGGCCACGCTCTGAAACGAATCTCGCACGACTTGATGTGGTTGGGCCTCAGCAGAGACTTGCGCTGATGATCGACCGTTGAGCTTCGCTCCGTTTGAAACTGTCGTATTCGCCAAGGGGGATATTTTGAGCGAGAGGAGACGGGGAAACACAGTATATCGCACAACGGCCTGCCCTTCTCTGCTGGCTCCAGCTACAAAGATCACGATGTTTTCAAGAGGGGGAGAATGCACGACTACGAGAGCTCTGTGCCGTTCTTCTGAATGCCCAGTCGAGACAAGTCTACGGCATGCCACGCGCGCACCACACGCGCCCAAACTCCACAAACCGCAGCTGGCCATGCAGACCACCGGCTTGCCCAGATACGATGACGCGTTGCCAGTTGGGAAGTGCCATGGAAGATTGCTGACCAAACTTATTTGCAGAAAAATGTTCATTGGTGGTTTGAACTGGGAGACAACCGATCGTAAGTCACGCCGCTTGCCAGCTCCTCTGCAGCTCGCTAACCACCAACAGAATCCCTGCGAGACTACTTCTCCCAATTCGGTGAAGTCGTGGAGTGCACCGTCATGCGCGACAGCAGCACCGGACGGTCCAGAGGTTTTGGCTTCCTCACTTTTAGGGACCCCAAGACAGTGAACATCGTGATGGTCAAAGAACACTTTTTGGACGGCAAGATCGTACGTTATCGACTTACCATTTGTTGTATGCCTTGGTACTAACTAAGCATTATCAGATTGATCCAAAGCGAGCTATTCCTCGCGATGAACAGGAAAAGACGAGCAAAATCTTTGTTGGCGGCGTTAGCCAGGAAACGACGGACCAAGAATTCAAGGATTACTTCGCGCAGTTCGGCCGCGTTGTCGACGCCACCCTTATGATGGATAAGGACACCGGCCGTCCCCGTGGTTTCGGTTTCGTCACATTCGAGAGTGAGGCAGGCGTGGACGCGTGCCTCAGCACCAGTCTTGAGATTCACGGAAAGCCGATTGAGGTCAAGAAGGCCCAGCCCCGTGGCAACCTTAGAGAGGAAGAGGAGGCGGCTCGTCGCGGAGGCAAGTTCCGCAAGGGCGACGACAGCGCCAGCCAGGGCGGCATGGGAGGCGGCCAAATGGGAGCTGCTGGCGGAATGACTCCGCAAGTCATGGCCCAGTACTTCCAACGCATGCAACAGGCGTTCGCAATGATGCAGCAACAGATGGCCATGAGTCGTGGTATGCCGATGAACCCCGCCATGATGCAGCAGATGATGCAGATGCAGCAAATGCAGCAAATGCAACAGCAGATGATGGGCCGCGGCGGAGGTGGCAACGGACAGAACATGATGGGCAACATGACGCCTCAGATGATGCAGCAGATGCAGCAAATGCAACAGCAGATGCAGCAGCAGATGGGACCGCAGATGGGACAACAGGGCGGATCACCTGGGGGCCCTAGTGGCGGCTTCAGTCCTCAGCAGCAGATGTTCGACCCGTCTCAAGGAGGTCAGCCGCAGCAGGGACACGGCGGATCGCGACGGGGCGGCAGCACCGGTAGCGGCGGTGGGCGGGACCAGTACAACCAGGGCGCCTACGCCATGGGCGGCGGAGGCGCTCCGACGTCCTGGGAGGGCATGTACGACGATGTTCCGCAGCCCAATATGAACCCGGGCGGCGGCCGTGGCGGAGGTTTCAACCGCGGTGGTCACCGGGGCGGACATCAGGGCTCGCCGGATCCTGCACATGCCCCGCCCGCGAACGCTCCCACGGGACCCAAGAACGCCGGCAAACCTGGCGCCAACTATCGCGGAGGCGGACGCAGCAGCAATCGTGGCTTCCACCCTTACTCCCGTTGAGGGGAAACAAGCGCGAGAGGTTCGCGATTCGAGATACCGATTTGAGATACGAAATAACGACTTCGGTCATCTCGGGAGAAACATCGACGTCTATTGGTTTGGCTATCAAGAGGCGGTGCCATAACACACGAGATTTCAGAGAAGGACAACGGAAGCGTATCATTGATCAAGAAGACGCAATCGCGTTCGCTAGTAGGCATGAACATCGGTCGAGTGCACGGGCAGAAGAAGGCTACAGAAAAAGGCATGCTTCTCCGAGAACAGAGGCTGAGAGGTTGACACGGTGGTACGGTACGGTCAGGGTCGGTTGGTTTTGCTTCTTGCGTTGGCACTCAAACAATTTTCCTTTGCACATTACCCGGGAATTCTGTACTATACGACGAGCCCAAAAACCAATTTCTAATCCAACTTGTTGGTCCTTTTATGTGACATGCATTAAGCGAGGACAATTGGCACCTAATCATCTCCAGCGTGACCGTGACCACTTGGGCGTTACCTAACTACGACCGTCTTTCTAATCTGCTTACTCTATCTCTCATTAACCCCATCCTGCGTTGGTAAGTCAACTTTGAAATGCGATAGCATGTCAGGCATGTTAGTTGAGAGCATTTCGTGTACGGGTTTCCGCTCATCGTCAGCTGACTGAGCTAGCCCCAGCCCAGAGTGTCAGTAATCGACAGTCGCAAATATACAAACATTCAGATAGTTTTGCGGTGGTGATTGATATCTTTATATCCTGCAACGATGAAGTTCACGATAGCCATGATGTGACGGGTTATCCGGCGCCGGACTTTAAACCCATTAACACCATCACCCGCCGTCATCGGGGCGTCAACACTTCCGTCTCTCCCTTCCCTCCACCTCGGAAAACCCACTTGCCTCAAGGGTGACTACCAAAAACAGCAACCACCCGGGGCCGACGTTCTATCTGCAGAAAAAGAAGCCGGACAAACACCGAGACTTCCCTTCCCATCGTTACAACAACAACATCAGTGAGAGTCGAGCTCGATTCTTTCTTGTCCTCGTCGGCCGTCCCGAAGCAACCCGGAACCAAATTTTTACGCGACCCTGTCAGACCCCACGTCGAAAGACAAGTAAGAAAAAAAATAAGACAGAAAAAACACGGTCCCTTTCCCGTCCTCCGCTTTCAAGGATCCCTAAGCAACGCATGTGATTTCTAATCAACAACCCCTCCATTTTACCCCTCCATCGTTCAAACCGCAGTGCCAAAACCGACGACACCGCGAAAAAAAATCGAAGGAGAGGAAAAATCAGCACACAGCGAAACCGCAAAAAACAAACCCCACATACCAAACGAATCCCGCGCCACGGAACAACCACAACTCGCGCAATTACCATACCTTATCCCCATGCTTCGCTCTCTCTCTCTCTCCTCCAATCCCCTTCTCCTCTTTTCAATATTGACGTGATCTGGAACTCAACCATCAAACACCCAATCATCTACGCCATCTAACCGCAAACCGCAAAAAGGCCGTTGCAACCAAAAACCCCCCACCCCACCTTGATGCCGTCGGCTGTCGGGCTGAGCCGCAAGTCTACATACATCACAAACGCAGTAACCGCAGTAAACGACTTTCCCATCCAACCACCCCCCGGTTGCCTAGACCATTGCGCCATCGCTGAAGAACTACCTTCCCCGACACCTTCCCTCCGTCATCACGCCCTTGGCCTTGTTTGCTCGTCCGCCTCGCCGAGCTGAACGAGATCCCGTCTGACGTCTTATCTCGTACCCGCAACGGAAGAACAAGGCGCCACAACAAACATCGCGAAAGCCCCGTATCCAAAGGGCGCCGACGACAACGCTGATGAATCAGCTCCTTTCCAAGTCCTAATCAGCATCACCGGTCTTCTTATTAGTTTCGTATAGAGAAAAAGTTCTTCGTAAACGCCGATCAAAACCTCCCGGGGGCCCAAAGACGGACCCGGTCGTAGCCGCAACCCCGCCAAAACCACAACAACCGCCGCCGCCAACTCTCACCGAGCCATGGGTCTCTTGCAAGTTCCCGCGCATTGCTTTTCTTCGTTCCCGTGCAGCACGAGAATCCTAATACCGTGCCATGTAGAGCCCTGGGAACCGCCCTCGACTGGCCGGATGCGAAGCAGCGCGCCGATCAGGTCCGGGAGTGGGGTATCAAGGTTCGATGACCCTTACATACATCTCACTTTGAGATTGTCACCCAAAAGCTCATATGAGATGTCATTTTTTGCTAACGTGCAACTCACAATTACCAGCAACTCTTGGAGATATGGAACAAGGCGAAGGGAAAAGAGCGCGATGCCATGTTATGGGGAGACGAAGTATGTCGTTGTCGTTGTTTGTTATAAAACTGTATAGGCAACTAACTCGACGCTCCAGGTTGAATATCTCGTCGTAACCTACTCCAAGGATGAGCCCAAGGTCCGTCTATCTCTGAGACAAGCCGAGATTCTCACAGCGCTCGCCGAGAGCCCCGACCTCGCCAAGGAAGGAGGCTGCGTGCCGGAGCTGCAAGATGTGGCCAGAGAGTCGTAAGTATTTTGATCTCTCACTCACTCACTCGCTCATCCATTCATGAGTGCTTACACATGAGAGCCCTCCGCGAGTGAATCAACAAGCGAGATCTCGACTAACACACTCACAGCTCAACAACCCTCCCCGTCTTCCACCCGGAATTCGGCCGCTTCATGCTCGAAGCGACCCCGGGTAAGCCCTGGGGCATCGGCTTCAAGGAACTCCTCGACGTCGAGCCCGACATGAAGCTCCGCCGCAAGATCGCAAAGGACCACATGCACTCCAACGAGTACCCCATCACCCTCACCACCTTCCCCCGCATCGGCTGCCCCGGCGACTTCACGGAACCCTACTACCCGCCCTCCGGCCCCAAGCTGCGCTCCCAGTTCGTGCCCGACGAGATCGCCAACCCGCACATCCGCTTCCCTACCCTCGCGGCCAACATCCGCTGGCGCCGCGGCCGCAAGGTCCAGGTCAACGTCCCCGTCTTCCACGACAGGAACACCCCCAACCCGTGGAAGGACCCCACCGTCGACTACGACATGCACAACTGGCCCGAGGACGACGACGTCCGCAACGGCGCCGCACCGGACAACTTCATCCACATGGACGCCATGGCCTTCGGCATGGGCAGCTGCTGTCTCCAGATCACCTTCCAGGCCAAGAACATCACCGAGGGCAGGAAGATGTACGACCAGCTCAGCCCACTCGGCCCCATCCTCCTCGCCCTGACGGCGGCCACGCCTGTGTACAAGGGCTTCCTCGCCAACACCGACGTGAGGTGGAACCAGATCAGCAGGGCAGTAGACTGCAGGACGCCGGAAGAGCTCGGCGAGAAGGTAAAGCTCTCTCTCACTTTTATGTTCGTGGCGGGGCCAGATGAACTGACACATCCCAGCCCCTGAAAAACGACCGCTGGCGCATCCCCAAGTCTCGCTACGCCTCCAACTCGACCTACATCTCGACGGACCCGCGCCTGCGCGACGAGTACCTCTACCCGGACCTCGTCATCGACCACGACATCAAGGCGAAGCTGATGGCCGGCGGCATGGACGACCGCCTCGCGACGCACTTCGCCCACCTCTTCATCCGCGACCCCATCGTCGTCTTCGAGGAGGACCTGCAGGAGCTCGACCTGTCCAAGACGGACCACTTCGAGAACCTGCAGAGCACCAACTGGCAGCACATGCGCTTCAAGCCGCCCCCGGCCGACAACAGCATCGGCTGGCGCGTCGAGTTCCGCCCCATGGAGATCCAGCTCACCGACTTCGAGAACGCCGCCTTCTCCGTCTTCATGGTCCTCGTCACCCGCGCCATCCTCTCCTTCGACCTCAACTTCTACATCCCCATCACAAAGGTCGACGAGAACATGGAGCGCGCCCACAACGTCGACGCCGTCCTCAAGGACAAGTTCTACTTCCGCAAGAACCCCTTCTCGAGCCGGCCCGGGCGTCAGGGAGGCGGAGGCGGAGGACCCGGGGGAGACGGCTCGCGCCCGGGGTCCCGGCCCGGGTCCGCCGTCCCGAGCAGGCCGCCCACGCCGGTGCTCCCGGTCGAGGACGAGTACGCCGAGATGACGGTCAACGAGGTGATCAACGGCAGCGCGGACGGCGAGTTCCCGGGTCTCATCCCGCTGGTCGAGAGCTACCTCGATGGCGTCAACGTGGACGTCCAGACGCGCTGCGAGCTCGACACGTACCTGCGCCTCGTGAGCCAGCGCGCCAGCGGAAAGCTGAACACGGCGGCCCGGTGGCTGCGCGATTTCATCGACGTCCACCCCGCGTACAAGCACGACAGCGTCGTCGGGGAGGAGATCCAGAAGGACATCGTCGCGGCCGTGATAGCCATCGGCGAGCGGGAGACGGCCGGAAAGGGCTTCAACGGGCTGGACATCTACGGTCTGCCGAAGCTGCTCGGCGACTTTAGGAGAGGAGGATGCGGAGGTGCGTAAAGGGGCTTGAAGCCCCCGTCTCACATTGGACGTACGCAGTTGAATGGGACGGGATAATACACGGCGTGGATGGAAGTCAGACATGGACCCCCTTATTGCGGGCCAGATCGAGGGTGTCGGTTTCCTGTTGTCTCCGCCAGGGGGAGATGGTCTTACACGTGACGGACATTTAGACTCAGTAGACATTTCAAAGTATATCGTAAGACAGCATCGTCAAATTTCTCCAAGACGCCCCTCCTTTCCCTCCCATTGAATTGATTTCGAGATGTGGCTTTCTCAGCCGCAGATGAGATGAGATGTGCCTCACGCAACCGGCAGGCTCGAGAGGGGAATTTCCGAATGGCGGATCTGCTTTGCTCGCGGACGGGTCCTGGCTTGATATGAAGTCATTTCCGCCATCTGAGATTTCCAATGGTTCATCTCAGCCGCGAGTAGATGCGCCCTAGACATCGTCATCCGGCCTGGGCGTCGTGGGATGGAATGACGTCCGAGATTGAAGTGGGCATCACCTGAACGGCATCGACGACCGGACGCTCTCGCAAGCACGGCTCGAATGGAACAAGCTTCGTGGAATAGGCGCGGAGACCCTTACGCCAAGAAAACCGACCACGATCGCGTCCGTCTTAGGCAGCGATTGTGTTTGACCCAGGTCCGCGGAGCTGGAGTACCAAACGCCACCCCCCCTTTTGGTGCCCGATGGCATGATATGGCATGATGGCAAGAATATGCGGGTGCAGTCTCAAGACGAAAAATGAGTTCCCTCACTTGTTACGTCCGTTCTGATCAAAACCTGTTTCTGACTCTCTCCGCTGACGTCGACTGATTGGGGGCAGGCAAGGCGCATGGCGATATTCCGGCAAGTTGGAATCGGCCGTAATCTAGGCGAGTTGGACCAAATTGGAGTGGCGTACGGGTTCGTTTCAATGGAGATTCCCGCTTTCCCAGTTTCCAGGGAAAAGGGATGAGAGATCCGGATAGCTGGTACCTTACTCTACCTTGCCCTAACTGCTTGAGAAAGGGGGTGTGTGCGGCGCGCGCGTGCGTATGTGTGTGTGTGTGAAGTGAGAGCGGGTGGGTGTGGAGAAGCGTTTGCTCGTGGCATGCGATGCCCTGTTAGCAAGCACCCCAACGCCGGGACCGAAAACGAAATCGACACGGGGCCCAAGTGGTTCGTGTGATGTTCTGCGGGAGCCTAAGCGTCGGACGGCTAGCTCTTGCTAGTTTGACCGAGATGTTTGTTGCGACCACCAGGCTGTGTCTTGGATCTACTCGCCGGCCGCACGCCAAAATAAGTGCGATCCTGTGGCGGACATAGTTATACCGGCAGTTCGGTTTGGGAAGATAGGAGGGCATTGGCAAAGAAAACCTCTTTCTGCCTGCCGGTTGAGTCCATTCCTGAGGGAAGTATCAACTCGCAGCAGGTGAACACGATGTCGGCCTGTGTCATGCCGGGTTGGGGCGAGTTCGCGGGTGTTCATCAGCATGCCTGGCAGACTTTGCTGGCAAGTGTTGCCGTGAATTCGCAATTGCATTTCATTCCTCACTGCCGGCAAGTAGCCACGTTGCGGCATGGTCATGCGGCTGTCTGTGGCTGTTATGACGGTTCCTCGGCCATCGAACCATGCCAAACCTGCGTAGTGAGACACCGTATGATGTCCGGCCTCGCGTTCGTCTGCAATACGGCGTGGAATACGCTGAGGTTTGTCTGAGGGGTTCGAGCGACACCTCCAAACCGGCGCCAAGCCACGAGCTGTCAATGGGGGGGACCCTTCGCAGAGCAGTAGTAGACTTGTGCGACTTTGCATCTCAGCTTGGCGGTTTGAGCTCTGCCGATGATGTGGCAGGACTAGCGGACCGCGTCGCCTCGTCTTAGGGGCCGAGGTCAAAGTGATCAGGCGTGATTCTCTCTAGCGGATGACCCTTAGACACTGCAGATAATCTGGAAGGCTACTAATGGTGTTCCTGGCCGCTATGCAGACGCGGGCAGCTCCATTCCCAAACGAATGAGACGAAGGCTGAACGGTGATGCATGGAAGGTCGGTCCAGAACTCAAAGGCTTGCTGCCCCCGTATTCCCCCTACGTTCCCATGCTCATAGTACCGCCGCCACACTGCGTGACGAAGGCAAGGAGAAAACATGCTTGCCCGGTATGACCGTTCCTTGGTGTGCTCTGGCTTGGGCACATTCAGCTGCGTTCGGTAAAGCCTTGAATATGGCATGTCGCGTGGGAGCCGTGTGGGCAGGCTGAAGCGGCTTGAGGACTGGCAACCGCAACCGGCAGTGATCGGCACGAGGCGCCGTGGTTCGATTGCAGAGCCATCATGACGTAGCAGGCTGGTCTGGACGTGCGATGATGGTTCGTACAGAGTGCGCTATTTGAAGGATCCAAGAGCTAGTCTCCCGCGGACGGGTTGGAGAGCAATTTGGGCTTGGTTCAGCAACGCGAGGCGGTGTTGCGATGGCAGGCTGGTTTGCGGTTCGTATTGGGTCCGTCTCTCGATCGACGTGTGCCGCGTGTTTGGCAGTTAGTAGGCCCCTGGAAACCGTGGACGACTGTGGACGAACCGAACGGCCGTAGGGAGGATTGTGACGGGTGACCAAGAAACGGATGTTATCATGCCCGGCGTGGCTATTGGCGCATAGTACGAGCTCGATACACACCCGGAAGGGTCAGATGTGACAAGTTATTACTGAGAGAGATTGGCGAACCGGTTAGGTGGTAGCGCGGGCAGAGTGCGGAATGAAGATGAATGGACCCTACCCTTGCGCAGACACACGGGTGTCAGATCGTTTGATGAGATCCAACCAGATCTGGGCCCGGTGACCTCGTGGAATGCTGCGTGGAAAAACCGGAGCAAATCGGGGCCCAGGTAAGGGATCTCGGGCAACAGGGCATGGCGAAGCGAAGGGCGAAGCTAGATCAGATCGTACGATGTCGTCTATGGGGAAGCGCGAGAGTTTGTGTGCCAAGGCAAGGAATGTGCTGTCGGGACGGAGGATATTACTGCGTCTGTACTGATGTCCAGTATCAAGACCAGGCCAGCCGGTTGACGTCCAGGGACGTGGGCTGTAGCGCAGCATTCTCTATGTTCCATGGGTCGAGTCAGCATGTTTGAAGGGGTGAAATGGAGGGGAAGTCTAGCATTGTCGACCAAGGAGAAGGAAACGCCATAGCAGTCAGACAAGGTCTCCGTTGCCAGGTGTTGCGATTGGAGTGAACGTACCTTGTTGGAGAAGCAGATTCGCACCCTGCGCCCAAACCGTGTGCTCCGTCCCGCGCCACACAGCGTGTGATGCGAGTTGGAGTTCGGCGGTAAGCGTGTAATTAAGTCCTTTCCTTGAGGTGTATGGACCAGGGAGGAAATGTACGGGGCCCAGACCCAGATCCAGGGATCTGAATAGCATAGCTTATCTGCTTTCTGGGCTTGGAAACCCACGTGGCTGGAAAAGGCACGGAGTTTTGTGCCAGAGCAGAGATCAACGGGCAACGGACTTTGTCTTGGTGTATGGCTTAAGCTAAGAGCAGCCTACACGACGAAGTAGTTTCCTAGAACGTGCTGGCGGCAGTAGACGAGAGAGTAAAGTGGCAGATTAGGCAGGCTATCAAGATGTGGATGCAGAGAACTTGGGCCTTTGGGCTTGGTCTTAGCCTTGTTTCCCTGACTGCCGTTATGGGGATCGGCCGTGTCAATTCGTCCGGTCATGTCGCGTGTCTCTTGGTGCGCCTCGGTGCCTTTGGAGGCGCTCTGATGGGGTCCGAGGTAAGTACGAAGGCCTTGTTCGGACTGGCGGCGGAGTAGAGACAAAACGGGGGCACTGCCAAAACATTGAGTGGCGTGCCATTCCTCGATGTTCCAAGTGGAGGAAAACAAGATACGAGAGCGAGGAGGAAGAAGGCGAATGAAGATGATGCAAGCAAACAGTCGGTCAGTAAGTTGCCAGGTATGGTAGAGGTACTTTCTCAGTCGATGCATCTGCAGAATGTAAATCCAAAGATCGGGGTCCCTTTCCCTTGAAGACCCACCATTTTGAGGGGCATCTTGCAGCCGGCGGAGAAGGAGCGATGAACATGCTTTGGCAGAGGATAATGTGACCTGACCGACAGTTCTGTTGGTAATGGAAAGTAAGGTACTTTGGAGGGACTGTGGGCCAATTTGCAGTCCGAAAAGATAAAACGCCGTCGCCGCTGGCGGAAGACCAGCCCAGGTCACTGGTCATTGGATGCGGAGCACCTTCACCGAGGTGGAGAAACGTGCTTGATCTTGCATGCATGCGGGCGTTTTGATTGGTGCGGAGACCTGGCCACTGGACTTTCCATTTGATCCAACAGCCAATCTTGACGGTTGGAAGTAAGATCGCGATGTACCCGACCAATCCGTATCTCGTAAAGAGGAGGCAGATTCTTCGTGCGTAGCGTTGACTTCAGAATAAACCTCAGTTTCAGACCCTGCCATTCAAGGAGAGGGGTTTGCGGTTGATAGGTGTCAGCTTGATCCCCGTCGCTGCGACGCTGCAGAGTAGATGGACGTATCTAGATCCATCCTCAATGACAGACAGGCTGAAAATAAATGCCACGCTGCCATGCATCAATGAAGCAAAACGGTAATGAATAGCTGGACCGGTAAGACTGTAGCTCGGAGACGAGGCGTAAGGTATCCATCCCTAGGCAGGCCCCTTGAAGAGCGAAGTGTGCTCCGGAAAGCAAGGCACAAAGACGACAAGGCATGAGACGATGAAGCCCGCTAAGACGTTGACGATGGGCGGGAGTTGGAAAATCACGCCACGCGCGAGTCGTGAGATGGGGAGATTGAGAAAATGGGACGAACATTTCGTTGGCGCACTCGTTGGTGGTGGTAGTGACTGCTGCGGTGAGCATGGTGGTGTGTGTGTGTGTGTGTGTGGGTTGGCATGTGTGAAAACTGCAAAGGAGAGCCCAACTTAGCCAGGTTGGAGTGGTGAGAATGATTGTGAGTGGAGGGATGCCAGACCTGAGAGGATCC